TCAGTGTTGCTAGCTAAGATTTTCAAAACAGCCCAATTCGGCGAGAGGAACTGGGAAAATCCGCCACGGGGAGCTCTTTTATTGAGATAATATAATATAACTACAAAATTTCTTATAAATTCTAAACAAAATTCATGTCTTCATTTTTTTGTTTATTTTCGGAAACTTTTTCTAATGCTATATCTTGGAAAAATAAATGTTGTATACCGATTTATTTATTTATTATCCATTTATCTACTTTAAACGAATTTTAAGACATTCGGTTCAAAACACTATTACTGTTTACTGAAGTCCAATAAAGCCAGCAAACATTTTTAAAAGTAAAATTAAAGTTCGTGAGTGATTACTTAATGCTCATTAGCTTAGAAATAAATGTATTAAAATATTTACAACATTTCGTTCCTAACTGAACATTTTTACTAATGGACATTATTTCAAACTACTATTGTATGTTCACGATACAGTAATCTCGCCGAAGGATTTTCCAGTTAACGAAGATCGACTGTATGGGAACGCGCCAATTGGAATTTGCATGGGATTAGTACCAACAAGACTCTAAGCACAATGGGATTTGGTTGGACTTTTCGAATGGAATTCGGTGGGAATACGGCAATCAAAAGTTGGCACCTCGATGGGGCTATGGCTATATATAACATGTTTTAATTTGTTTGTTGTTGCTGCTGTTTCTGCTGCCGGTTGGCATGTGAAAAGTGCCAGCGCTGCAGAACAGGTGATTGACACAGAATATGGAAATGTGAAAACGTGTGGATACTGCAGCGGAAATGGAAAATGCCAGCACCCAGGAGAGTGCTAAAAAACAGCTTCACTAATTTCCAACATTTAATTCCCTAAACAGAACTTTTCACTCATTATTATTATCCAACAGGAAGGCTAGAAAAGCCAATAAGAAATGCAGGTGTAGCTGTGTTGGTGTTGTTCTATTGATAAGCCAAAACCGTTGACAACAAATATGTATTGAGAACGGCAACAAAAACAACAACCGCGCACATTCCAATCAATGTGTGTGTGTGTGTACAGGTATTTGTGCTTTTGTGTTGGTGGCTAAACAAGAAACTTCAGGCATACCAATAAAAAAAGAAGAGTCTTATTAGAAGAAAGAGAGGGCAAGTGCATGATGCGATGACTAAAGAAAGGTAAAAACAATAAAAGGAAAATAAAATATCTGCAGAGAGAAAACGCGCAAAAACGACGAAAGAAAGGGGCTCTCAAAATATGCAAAAAGCAAAAAAGAGGGCGAAAAAAGAGCAGTTATAATTACCTGCCAGTTAATCACTTGTTTTTCTTTTTTTTTGTTTGTTTAAGTGCACTTGTAATCTATATTTATAAAAATGAATTGACACATACGCGATACAGATCCTCGCGTTGGGGATTTCTCACCAGATCAACGATCAGATCAGATCTTTAGCTTTTCTATTTTCACTCGCGTAATTCAATTAGACATCAATTAATTTTTTTCGCTTAACATTTTTTCGGCGCAATTAACCAATACACTTGCAGAAAAACTGCGACGAAAGCAGTTAGATATTTTCGTTGTTGTTGTTTTTGTTGTTGTAACACACTCACATACGCGCTCTGGTCAGGTAGGTTATTTAAATATGTGTGTGTGTGTAAGTAAGGCACTTTAAAGGCTGTAAAAATTGTAAAAACCACTTGTTGCTCTGTTTTAAAGGCACTTTGCCGCTTTGTAGAAGCCGTAACGCCAATTTGAAACTCCGGGCGGTCGGCGGACAACGAAACACACGCTGGCCTGTTAAAAACGGATACAATTGGCACGGTTTTTTTTCGGAGCGGAGCGATGCGATTTGATGATGACAGCGCCAACGCGAACACACAAACACAAACAAAATGTACGAATATACCATATTTGAATGTAACGAAAATATGAGTATTTATCGATAAGGTTTTCTAGCAGCTCTACTGTACTTTCATCGAAAAACCCCAAACGGAATTTGAAATTAAAGATAGCTAATTTCGTATGTTTTTTAGATGTACATAAGGTTCATTATAATTATTTGCCAACCTAACTTTCTAAAATGTTTTCAAAACAAACTTTAAAGTTATAATAGTTTAAAAATTCGTATGTATGACTACGCTAAATATGACCACACCTATTAAATCACCTGATTTCGTTGACAAAAATTGATCATATTTTTAACTCTTTTATCTTTAGGTTTATTAAAGCATACATTGGATACTATTTCGGATTCGGTAAAAAAAAATCCAATTCATTTCAAACAAGCAACCGCGCGGACGTGGGATAACAGTGTGACCAGTACAGTGCAGCTTCGGAATTACCGACTAACGGTCTATTTGGTATTTTACGCACCAGGTGGCAACGCTAGGCGAAATGACCGTTACGCAGTGCGACCGTTGATCTCATTAACTTTAGTTCAACCTAAACTAATTTTGAAATTTATGTTTAAAATAAGTGCAGCCGAAAATATCTTCATAAAGATGATGTTTTTTAATATTATTATTATTCTTACAAAGTTTTTCTTTTTCTCATTTTAACGCCAAAAAACATTTTTGTGCACAGGTCCGAAATGTGCACAATTAAATATATGCAATATTGTTAATATTAATCTACTTTTTAATGGTCTTTGACGCTACAAGAAGCACCTATTGCTATTAAATTTCACTGTTAACCAATAATAATTACTTTTTAATTCATGTTGTCAATATCTATAGAAAATTTAGTAAAATCTGGTCAGAAAGGTTACCAAAATTAGACTCCAACATATATTTAATAGAGTCAGGTTACCTGCAATCAACAAACTTCTTTGTCTTACTCAACAACGAGTCCAAATCATCGAAAAGTAATTTCAAAGAAATTTAATTGAAACCCAATTTAAAATCCTTTAGAAGTAATAGATCCTGAAATTGGTATCTTTCAATCCAAAATAACACGAAAACAATAACGAAATCATTTTGACTCGATATAAAATTTAATTTCTTTATTAAATTAAAATAACTCATACTATTTATAATTGTTTTTACTTAAATATTAATAAAATAAAAGGAAGAGTTGATTTCGAATCCATATTCAAAAATATTGATAGACTGTGTAAGCCAACAGTCTTTGATATTACAATAATAAATAATAAAAAGTTACAGATATGTGTGTGTATTTTGACCTTCTCAGTTGTCAAAACAAAAATTAAATTTTATTTCGATCAAAAAACTAAGTTGGCAATGAAAACCTTCCTCGTGCTTTATTGTTATTTTATTTGCAAACGTCTTCTCACTCATAAAGCAAAGTTGGCATCTGTTTTGTGTGGTTATTTAAATAAGGTTAGCTGGTAAAGCACCGGGAGAATAGATTAAGCGTGTTAAACAGTACCTAAATATTTGACGTTGGAGGTGTTTTTGTTTGCACTTGGGATGTGTATAGACGAGCTTTTACTTAAATTCATTTAAAATTATGTGTACATTTGGATGCCCAAACTTGCAACATAAGTTTCTCCTTCGAAATCCCGATTTGTATTTATTATCATGTTTATATTACAAAACCTGTTGTTTGTGTGACTGTTTTAACAGATTGACTGAATGGACCAAATCAAATGAATTCTAAAGTAGGTACTCTATTGTTACAGCCAGACTTGTCCAAATATATCCTAATACGCCGCGTGAGACATATGTTTATTTAGAATCAGCACAGATTCAGCAATTAGATAAATACCTGAGTTGAAACCAGAGCAAGTATAGTGTTTCGGTACAGTAAATTGTGCCTATAGCTAAAAATGAAATCCCAAATCGTCTTCGCAATTGGTTTTCTGGCTCTCGAGGTGCCTGTTTATGGCCCAGGAACGGATTCCCCTGCCACAAGTCCCTCCAGCAGCTCGACTACACCTGCTTCCTCGACTTCCTCCTCGGCAACACCAACTGCATCAACCACGTCCTCTACTCCCAGTGACAGTGGTAAAGACTTATAGAAAAAATACTTCGGAATTAAATGTTTTACCAAATTTAATAAAATGATTCTATGAGAACGCAATAATAAATAGAAATATCGAGGATCTAAAAGAGGGACAGCTGGCGAAAAACATTACTTTGCCTTTTTTTGCGATCATTTTGCAAAGATTTGTCTTTTAATAAAAAAAAATCAGGCAAATATCTGTATCTAGTTGTTTATAAGTAAAGATAAGTAATCACATAATTTCAAGATAATGATCTATTATGATATCACGTAACTTTTGACACAATTTGTTGTACATATTTATAAATGTATTATATCTTTAATAAACCGAACAGCTTTTATTGGGTCAGAACTTTTTTTGACTCAATCTTATTTTACTGCTGCTCTTCAGATAATAAGTAAAAACTTTTTTCATAATATCCCCAAATAATTTTTTCTTGGTTATACTTTTTTTAACGATTCGAAAAAATGAACTAAAAAGCATAAAACATCCATTGAAATCAACTTTATATGTTTATTTTGAACCTATTGTCATAAGGAAGAGTGTGAATATTGTAAGTCGCTGATTTTTAATGTCATTACCGATTGCGAGAATATCCTTACATAAATATTAATAAAGAAAGCTTTGATCGAGATACTGACCTGTTAACTAATATGTAGCCTACCTAAAAGCGAAAATATTATTAAAATTTTTGAATGCTTTGTTTTATGCTTCTTAGATAAAAGCTTTCTTGGTGGTGAGAAAGTTACACAGACGTTTATGTTTGCACAGTCGCCAAACACTACAATAAAACCAGCCAATTGTCTACTATTTAAGTAATAACACAAAGAAACTTGCCAGCTTTTAATTCTTCAAAAAAAGATCGTCCATCACGCTTTTAGGTCTTAAAAAAACCTAGTCTCATCTTTTAACCCTGTTTAAAAAATATTTGTTGAGCTATGACGGCTTAGAGCAAACACAGATTCAGCAAACAGACTAAAATAAAAGAGATCGTCCCTATAAATACTCGAACTAAGACCAGAATGTGTACAGTACTTCATTAGGTGAAAGACAGAGCTCAAGATGCGATCCCCGTTCATCCTCGTCTTCGGCCTTTCTGCCCTCGTTGCGGCTGCTTACGCCGCAGGAACAACAGGAGCAGGAACAGGAACCGGGACTCCGGCTGCGGCAGGAACAGGAGGCACCCCTTCTACTGGAACAGGAGGCACCCCTGCGGCCTCTACTGGAACAGGAGGCACACCTGCGGCTTCTACTGGAACAGGAGGCACCCCTGCGGCTTCTACAGGAACAGGAGGCAGCCCTTCGTCTGCTTCTGGAACGACTCCAGCAGCTACAGCTCCTACAACTCCTCCAGCATCCACCCCAACTCCCACCCCAACTCCCAGTGCATCCGTTTCGCCCAGTGACTCTTCGGCCACGGATTCCGCGAACGCAGCGGAGGTGGCTAGGTTGGAGAACGTGATTGCAAATTTGAGACTTAAGGACAGGCGGCAACAAAATCGCATAAAAAAGCTTAGGGGAAAGCGTAACGGAAAGCGTAACGGAGGACGTAACGGAAGGCGTCGTGGAGGAAGACGCCAACGTCGGGGCTAGGCTCTACAAAAAGGACAAAATGTATTTGGAAGTTTCGACATTCACAATCAAATGTTTAAACAAATCAAATAAAATGAATATATGAGAACGCAATAACATTAATAGATTACAAATATCGAGGATCGGACAGTCCATACACTCGGGTAGACATATTGTAAAAAATTGAAAAGTATCGTGACCCATAACACCCACGAAATAGGAAACTCTGTAGAGAGAAGGTAGAGGCCAGTTATTGAGCGGTATCACTGCGTTACAAGCTGTAGGAACCCCTGGGAGTAAGAGCTTGGCCTTCTGGACGACGAACAAATGTTTTGCCATCGGGTCCTACTTTTTATACCCTTGCAGAGGGTATTATAATTTCGGTCAAAAGTTTGAAGCGCAGTGAAGGAGACATTTTCGACCCTATAAAGTATATATGTTCTTGATCAGCATCACCAGGAGAGTCGATCTAGCCATGTCTGTCCGTCTATCCGTCTGCCGTTTCTACGCAAACTAGTCCCTCAGTTTTTAAACTATCTGCTTAAAACTTTCCCAAAAGTGGTGTTCTCTTGCAGGTAGTATAAAAGTCATAGGAGCAATCGAAAATTTTTTTTTTTAATTTTAAAAAAGAATAAGTTTGTCGTTTTTAATTTTTTTTGTTCTTTGCGATTTGGTAATATTAAAATACTATGGAATTACGGGTTTGATTAAATTAAAATCGAACATTTATATCATATAGCTCCCATTGTAAATTAAAAAAATTGAAAAAAAATGTATTTGGCTGTTTTTTATTTATTAAAATATTCCTTTGACATATAGTAATTATTTATTAAGCTTTTAGTTTTGTCAGCATCGGACAAGCTATAGAGACGATGGCAAAATGCATCGCTAAATCGACGTGGCTTCATTGTTTTTGGTTATTGTAATAGCTGCAAGGGTATATAAAGTTTGCTTCCTTTCTTTTGATGTTTTGTTTTACAGGAGTGTCTTCTTCCTGCTGATGCGTCCAAAGAGCGAAGCTTCGTTAAGTCTTCTAGCTATGAGTCTTCCTGACGCATTCATACCACACTCATTAATGATTTCCCTCATAATTTGCAGGCTTTCGGTAAATTATATTAATTCGTTACCGAAATATAGAAAATTAAAAAAAGAATTCTGCGAAAACCACTTTCTCCTCGCCGCTTAATGACCATGCAAAATAAGTGAACGCGAACAAAAATTAACCATAAATCAAAAGAGAAAAATTATAACCTGTCGAAACATCCGTTTTGGTTTGTGCTATTTCTATGACCACGGCTGTACCTGTTAAGTTAAGCAATAAATATATACACTTTTACAAAAAAAAAGTTATAATAATAGTATTAAAAAAGTATGCTACAAAAAATTAAGACCTTTAAATTCTTTGTTTAATACTGGTTTGATGAAAGCTTTCTTTGTGATTAGAAAAGCTTCAGTTATTTGCGGTTGTTCAAATAATATCTAAATCTATTGATATCTCAGGCCCCTGTGTTTGCACAGTCGCTATCACAACTATGAATCCAATTGTCTGCTGTTTAATTAGAACACAAAAAAGCTATTCAACTTTTAGCTCTTTACAAAAAGATGGTCTAATCTTTTAACTCTTTACACAGCCTACACTCTGCAAACAAATACTTATTTGTTCGATGGCATATGGCGATCTTTAGCAAATACAGATTCTGCAATTAGACCACAATGTAAGATCGTCCCTATAAATACTCGAACTAAAACCGGAATATGTACAGTACTTCATCAGGTGAAAGACAGAGCTCAAGATGCGATCCCCGTTTATCTTCGTCTTCGGACTTTCCGCCCTTGTTGCGGCTGCTTACGCCGTAGGAACAGCTCCCGCTACTCCACCGGCGGCCACGCCGCCTACGGGCACACCGCCTGCGGCAACTCCTCCGGGCACTCCTACGGCGACTCCTCCAGCGACTCCTCCGGCGACTTCTCCCTCTTCTTCACCGCCCTCAGCCTCGCCGGCCGCCTCACCTGCTGCAGCTTCCCCCACCGCAACGTCCAGTGAATCCCCTTCGACCACGTCCCCCGACACCCTCAAAGCGGAGTTGACCAGGCTGACACGCGATGTTGAGAGACTGGAACGTCAAGAGCGCCGGGAGCGGCGCCGGGAGTGGCGTCAAGAGAGGCGTCAAGAGAGGCGTCAAGAGAGGCGTCAGGAAGGGCGTCGAGGAGGCCGTCGAGGAGGGCGCCAGGGAAGGCGTCGTGGAGGAAGACGCCAACGTCGCGGTTAAGCTCGCCAAAAAGGACTCTTCACAATTAAATGTTCAAAAAAATCAAATAAATAAATAATGTATGTGAACGTGCGATTACAATTTGTCTTTTCCCGATCTTGAAGACTCGGTCTAAATTTACCATGCCCAACGCCAACTCCCCCAAGCAGTCCACCACGCCCAATTTCCCCCTTCATCCACAAACTCCGACACCAGCGCAGGTCCTTGGAAAACTTCCTCTTATCAAAAGGCAACAAGAATATAATAAAATGCTTAAATGAATTTCAAACTATAGAAGCATCTATACTCTCAACCAATACCGAACAATTTGTGTTTTATCAAGTAAAAGCAGTGTCAATAGAAAGTATACAAATTTTACAGATGAAATTTTATGAGTCTACTTAACGATTTCCTAGTCCCCCAAATTAAATTCTTGACTATTCACGACAAAAATTTAAATTAGGAAAGGATGGGGCGAAACCGTCAGATGCTAGGAAAGCAACCCCTGAAAGTTTTAGCCTAACCTTTCTTAAAACAAATATGTTATTTAGGACATGAACAAGCAGTAAAAAAAAACTTAGAAAAATATTTAAACTTGATAATTAAGTCGCTTTTATGATCTTTGCCTCCCTAACTTCTGCAATTTTAAAAATTTTAAGAAAAACATTCTGTTTTATATCCGATATTTCAAACCGTTTTTTGCAAAGAACTTTGAGTAAAAATTTAATTTTACTTAACAAAAGAAATTATCGCTTAAAAACGAAGGTGAAAACTTGGTCTTTAAATGCCATTTTAAAATAGTAAACATAGTAATTACTTAACTAATAGTAGCAAGTTTGAATAACCGACTGAGTAAAGAAACCAGAAAACAAAAGAAAAAGTGGCTTCGAAATTCTGGAGATGGGCTGACAAAAATATGGAGGTTGTGGAGGTTCTCAGTCCAGGTGGCACGGAAAATTCGAGAATAGTATGGGGATGTGAACAATTCATATAGATACAAGATAGGCCAAAATAAAATGAACAAAATTCAAAAATAAATTTGACTCGATTTAATATTAAATTTAATAAATTATTTTAGAATAGCTTCTTCTTTTACTTAACTAAGCTCGATTAAGCTTAAATGTGTATTCATTTTGACCTTCTCAGTTGTCACAAAAATAAAATGAACTCACTTAAAGTTTTATTTCGATCAAAAAACGATGTTGACAATGAAAACCTTCCTCGTGCAAGGTATTGCTTTTTGATTGTCTTTTCATTCTTCAAGCTCTCTTAAAGCAATGTTGGTATCTGTTTTGTGCGATTATTCAAATAATGCTCTTAATAAACTCTTAAAGCACTGACAGAATAGATCAAGAGGGTTAACAATACCTACAACTTTTGAGGTGTTTTGCGTTTGCTCGCTAAGAATAAACTAGAGCAAATAAATCCACAACTTCTCTATTGTTAAATTAGGCAAAAGCATATAAAGATACTTTCCATAACATCTTCAAAGTTGTCTCACTACTAAAAAATGCTGAGTTAGACGAAAATATTTAATATATTCCCCATAAATACTTTAATTTCAAATATGGCACATACTGGATCAGCTGGAACGGATTTATCCTCGACAACCTCATATATTTCTCTTCGACTACTTCCACACCTCCAGCACTTCCTCGACCTCTTGAAGTTCCTCGACCTCACCAAAGGTTGCGCAACCGTCAGGGTTAAAAATGAACTGGACGCTGGAAAATGTATGCGGAAGTAAAGTTCCAGACTAAATATAAAAACAACATTTGATATATAATGTTTATTTAAAAGCACAAAATTTGTTTGTAAATTATTGAAAATTTTGGTTTTGGAACAGTTTTCTTTTGCTCCAATAACTAATAAGGATTTAAAAGAGAATCTATGTTGAGTAAGAAACTTCCTGTATAGAACGTCCTTATTAAAAGTAGTCAAAATTGCAAATATGAAATTTAGATATTTTCAATAGACACATATTTCAATTCAGTGAACTCTAATAAAAATTTGGTTGCTTCAGAACTCCGCGATTTGAGAACGCGATTTTAGCCAACCAAAACCAAAATAAATACATCAAACCAAATTTCAGTGTCCGGAATCTTGACAAACTGACATAACTAAATGAAATTACTTTTGAAATGATTAAAAAACTCAATAAGCTTACCTACATTTAACACATTTCTCATGAGAGTTGTTCAAAAATTAAATACTGAAATCATATAAAAAATTATTATATAAAACATAGATTGTTATCTTCTTTAAAAATAAGGGATTGTGTTGATTGATTGATACCTGCCGTTTTATATACTATTTCCAATAAAAATGTATTAGTGTGAAAGATACATTTATATGGATCTGAAACCAAACTTATAAATATTTATTAAAATTTTTGAAATTCCCCACAAGCAATATTTGTATCTAGTTGTTTATACGTGACGATACGTAAACATATCATTTTAAGATATGATCTAATGTTTTGATTTAATCTTTGTATGTTTATTTTGTACCTATTTGCATAGGGACGATTGTGAAAATTTCAAGCCTGGCAATAGGTAATACATTTTTTACTAATTATACTAAAATGTTCATGCGTACATGCAAATTAATAAAGAACCCTTTGATCGAGATACTTACCTGTTTAGTAATATGTAGCCTACCTACAAGCGAAAATATTATTAAAACCTTTGAATGCTTTGTTTTATACTTATTTGATTTAAGCTTTCTCAGTGCTGAACAAAGCTTCAGTTATTTGCGGGTATTTAAATATTAATTACTGCTAAAACACTAGATGAATAGCCTTGCGCATAACAATAGCTACATCTAAATCTATTGATTACACAGACGTTTATGTTTGCACAGTCGCTAACAATGCATTAAAACAAGCAAATTCTCTACAAACAAAGGAACTTTCCATCACGATTTAGGTCTTAAAAACAAAGATCGCCTCATCTTTTAACCCTGTATTTAGTTTAAAATAGGTTTGTCTTGATAAACAAATCCTTATTTGTTTCGTGACATATGGCGATCTTTAGCAAACACAGATTCTGCAATCAAGCCAAAAAATGAGATCTTCTCTATAAATAGTCGAATTAAAAGCGGAATATGTACAGTTCTTCATTAGGTAAAAGACAGAGCTCAAGATGCGATCGCCGTTTGTCTTCGTCTTTGGGCTTTCCACCCTCGTTGCGGCTGCTTACGCCGTAACTCCACCGGCGGCCACTCCACCGGCTGCCACTCCACCGGCTGCCACTCCACCGGCGGCCACGCCGCCAGCGGCTACTCCTCCAGCGACTCCTCCGGCGACTCCTCCTTCTTCTTCACCGCCCTCAGCATCTCCTACCCCAGCTGCGGCCGCATCACCCACTGCATCCGCTTCGCCCACGACCTCCGACACCCTGAGTCAGGAATTGGCCAGGCTGGAGCGTGATATTGGCGTGCTGGAAGCTGAAGAGCGGTTTGGAGGTAGGCGTGGGAGAAGGCGGCAGTGGTTAAGGCGTCGAGGAGGGCGTCAGGGAAGGGGCCAGGGAAGGGGTCAGGGAAGGCGCGGTGGAGGCTTTGTAGCTAGGCGTCGTCGAGGAAGACGCCAACTTCGGGGTTGAACTTAAAGCAAAAAGGACTCTTGGAAAAAACATATTCGAAAGTTTCGAGATTGACAATTCAATGTAAAAAAAAAAACAACAAAAAAATAAATATATATATATGCAGATTACGATTAGTCTTTTCCCAATATTTAAAAGGCTCGGTCTAATTAGAATAACCTACCACGACCAATTTCCCCAGTGGGACCTCTTCATCCACGAACTCCAACCCCAGCAGTGCGGATTTTGCCAGGCTAAAGCGCACAATCCGCTGGCTTAAGCGTCGATAAATCCAATTAGAATTCCGCTAGTTCTAATTGGTCGATTGTCCTTGGAAAACTTATTCCCAGAATATGATATCCAAAGTATTTTCACGCCCATTGAAATATCTATTCACTTAACTAATTTATGGTCTTTTATGCCCTTTGCCTCCCCAAACAAAAGTTCTGCAAATTTTAATAATTTTAAGAAAAATATCTTTTTTATAAACGATTTCATTTCATTTTCTAATTTTACTTACTAAAACATATTATCTATAAACGCCATTTTAAAAGTCTCAATATACAATTTGACTTTAGTAACCATAGTAATTATTAAATTGATGGTAACCGACGGCGCATAGAAACCGGAAAACAAATGAAAAAGTGGCTTACTGATTCTCGAGAAAGACTGCTTAAAACATGGATGTTGTGGAATTTCTCAGTCGCACCGACCGCCGGAACCTCAAATCCCAAATCGGATTCCAGGTGGCACGAAAGATGCGGGAATGGTACGAGGATGTGGACAATCGCCGTTGGAACTTGAGTCTCCTACTCCAAAAAGAGGCTTTGCAGGCGGACGAAAAGATTGCAGAGATGCTCCAGGAGCAGGCAGATGAAGCGGATCGAAGGCGACACGAGTGGATCGAGATGGAGCGACTGAAAAGGGAGGAGGCCGAAAAGGAACTGGTCAAAGTTAAGAAGCAGCAAAGGGAGATGTAGGAAGCCTTTATTTATTTATTATTTATTTATTTAAAATAATCCCATTTTTTCAGTGAAAACTCGGAGGCTCATCGTCATATGCAAACCAAAGAGATCCTTTTGGAATCCAAACAAGCTCAGCTCCATCAAATTGAGGAGAAAAAGGCTCTCAAGCGTCGACAAGCCTGTGTGGAGATCCTTTGGCAGCGGGTGTGGCAGCGATTGGACGAAAGTAAGGCTCAGCAGGAGCAATATGAACTGAAACTGCGAAACTTAATAGAGGGCAGGTGCCAGGCCCAGAATCTGGAAATAGATCGGAAGCTGAAGGCTCAGTTCGCCAAGGAAGTGCTGGCAGAGCAACGAGAATGCTCCCAGGCGTAAGTACTTTTATATTCATATATTGCATCTCACATAAAACTAGTTCTTAAATCAAAGATTAAGGATGTAAATACAACGAAGCTCTGGAAAATCAAACATCAATAATCACACTAAAAATTTGAATGCTAACTATTCTATTTAACTATTTATCTATTTAACTATTGGCTAATCTTACACATTTTTAGAAGAATATGAAGACCGGTATTATTTATATAGCCAAAACAAAGTAAAATATAAAAGTACTAAGCTAAAGTTAGAAACAAAATGACATCTTGATCACATACATTTTTTTGTAAACATAAAGTGCCTTACACTGAGAAAGAATTTTTTTTTTTTAAACCTATTTGGTTTATTTTGACCTATTTCACATAGAATTTTTAAAAGCTATCTCTAAAGCCAATTACAGGCAGAATTCAAAGTCAAAACTACAGTTAAATTGCTCGTGTTATTTCTTACTTTCAAATTAGGCTTAATTTTTAATCACCCATCTGTTCTAGTCTGGAAATCGCTACCGAAATGGATGTCCTGAAGAAACAACATGAACTCAAGAAGGTGAAGGATAAACGCCACCAGCAACTCACTGACTTGCAGGATCAGATCAAACAGAATCGAATGACCAGTGTCCAGCAAATGCAGGCCAAGATCCGTGAGGATACGGGGCACAACATACTCGAAGATCGGCAAATTTATGAGGAGCTCATGGAGAAGCGATGCGCCAGGGTAAGATGAAATCATCGTTACTGCCTATATTTCATTTGTAACCTCAACCGATGACTTTGTTTTAGACTCACAATCGCGATTGGCACCAGCGGTACATGACACACACGGCCGAGGAGCGTGCCGCTCGTAAGGAAGAGGATGATCGGCGGGAGCGGAATTACCTGGGCACTGGGTGTGTGCTCCGCCAGCAACAGAAGCAACCATATGGCAGAGCAGTGCGTTAATACAAGTGGACGCATCATTGCCATCGATCGATTGACGTCGCACTCATGTCACGCCTCTCATATTTGGATACAATATTGCAATTATATTTATGACTGATATAAATCAGGCAATGGCAGCGATAAGGAAAAGCGTATCACGCACGGGCGGCATAAAAACCGTGATAATGTCCACCATCAACGTCGCCGGGGAAGCCGAACAGCTTGTTCAGACGCCAGCGGGCGAATATGCAAATGCAAATTGCCACTACAGTCAAGCCTTTGTAATTTGCACACTCATAATAAGTTCAAATTTAGATGATTAATACTTATAAATGTATTCTACACAAATTATTTTAATGGTTTTACATTTATGTGTCACATATATATAAAAGCTTATTGAATAATTGGTTTTTATTAATTCGCCAACAGAAAATTTTAGGCACCAAGCTACGCATTTTTTATAATAACTATTTTTTGAAGAGAAAATATTTTCAAAAATATTGTAACCCCTGATTATGTTTCACAATTATTTATTATTTATTGAAAAAGAAATTGTCTACTTTATAAACCTAAAACTTCCCATTTAAATCATAACAAACTTGTTTATAAGTTTTTATCAACAATTTTTTAATGGATCACTCATTGCATCGGTATAAATCATAATAAGACTAACAAATAACATATTTAATATTATTTCATGCATATTTATTATTAAATATAATAAAGATAAGCCTTAAACTACCAGAAAATAAATATTTTTGCAAAGCTTTGCAATTTCAATACCATTATTTATAGATATAAGGATGTAAAAAAAATATAAATAATTCAATATAAAGTGGTAAACGAGCTTTGTCGGATTTCGAAAAAATAATATGCAAATTCGAGTTTATGAAGTTGGACTGTTCGATCGATAAAACTTGTAAGTGTGGCTCGATCAGCGACTTTGACAATATTTCTGACACTTGGACAGGACTTGGAACTTGGACCTGCCCCACCCTTCCCCTCCGCCTGCCCCTTTCCCCCCGGCTCCATGGAGTTTATAATTGACCGCTTCCGCCGTTCGCAGCGCTTGTCTCCTCAACTGGTTGCCACTAATTAGAGTTGATCGGTGGCCATGTCGCCGGCAGCAGCTGCAATTGTTGCACGTAGCACGTTGCAACTGCTGCATAAGCACTTAAAATGTAAACACACTAACCGCCGTGTTTATTCAATTAAAAAGTGTGCGGGGCAGAGATTTTTACGGGGAGCGACTAGCAAATTGCTGAAGCAATTTCCATTGCAATGTACTTAGCCAAATGGCCAACAACGGGTCATTTGGCAGACGATTGCGCGTATGTTTGCACACAGTTGATAAGCAATTTCACTGGGATTAGGCCCATCGAGGTAATCTGTGCTCATCCATTCCTGGCATACATGAAAAGTTTATTTACAATATGCCCAGGCTCGTGTTTACTGTGCAAACAATCAACTGAAGTACTTCGAAACTCAATAGAGCTGCACTGGGAAAAACGGATTAGCAACTCAAATACTAATAAGAGTTCGGGTTTGACATATTTTTTTAAAGTCTATTTACAATTCAGTTTCAGGATTACCAATCAAATACAAATTGGATAGTTTCGCCTCATAAATTATATACATATATGCCCTCTGAAAAGTCTAATGGAAATGGCTTAGATTATATAGTATGGACACTTTTTTCAACGTCCATTTAATTTTGACATAAAAGAAATAAATTTAAGTCAAATTCGATGGAATTTTCACTTTCAATAAAAATATTTGCACTATTTCCTCCTAGGTCCGCACTATTTAAACCTTTTCGTTTTTGAGTTCGCCTTTCCAAAGATGTGCTATCTATAAATGTTTGCTGAATTGTTAATTAAAATCCATAATTTGTCAAACCCGTTGATAAAAAGGAAAAAAAACATACATTCAATTCAATTAATCAATAAATACGTGTCTAGATATGAGATGATATCATCTTTTTTCAAGACTGTTTTTTTTTTTTAATATATTGTGGTGATTTGTTAGTTATAAATCGTATTTATGGATATATAAAACGAGTTCTTCAAGACGCATTTTTATACCCTTGCAGAGAGTACTTAGCTTTCATAGGAAAAATCGGGAAAAAAGGCAAATATATACCCATATACTTAAAGGTATGTTTACGAGTTAACTTTTATAAAAATCGGACGACTATATCATATAGCTATTATAGGAACGATCTTAAAAATGAGTCGGGCAATGATCCAATTGTTTTAAATAATCTTAATCTGAATAAAGAATATTAAATTTGTTTAACAGCTGCAAGGGTATATAAACTTCGGCTTGGCGAGGTTTGTTTCCTTTCTTGTTTCTCACTGTTTTGAATGCATAGGTAAGTAGCCACCACCCATCACCCCCCTCTCTCCGGGCAGCATGTCCAGTTCAATAACACGATCCCATGCATCACGCAGTTTCGACTCCGACTCCGACTCCAGCCAAGCCTGAGAACCAAGTGAACCGTAGGAAACGTGGAAAAGCCGGGCGGCGCATTTTCAAAGAGAGGTGTCAAAGTCGGCTCAGAATTGCCCTGGCCTGGTAGTGGTACTGGTACTGGTACTGGTACTAGTACTCCTCCTCCTGGGATTCCGACTCCTCTCGGCATGTCATTAGCCCCGAAAGGGGTGGCTGTCTGGGTTATTTATGTGACACTTACAATCGTGACAACATTCGCCAAATGCGCCAGGGGAAAATGCATTCAAATGGAAATATCTCAAGAACAATGCTGCAATGGAACATTAGTTAACAGGCATTGCAGTACAAAACACTCGTAGTAGGTAGGAGTTACCCAGGTAACAAGAATTCTCTAATATCCGCATAAATCTGATTCATTTCGGTAACGCCTCCCGGCTAAACTTAACTCGATTTTTATCTAGGGATCTACAAGATTTATAGATCCTAGCTTGGGGCCTCGAAGCTCGACTTGAACTCATTAATAAGCGTTTAGAGCCAACACTAATTGCCAACGCCTACAGAAGCTTGGCTAGGAAAGGGGAAAATCCAAGACAGCAAGTTGGCCAAATAATTGTTTATGTGGGCGAACAGGACATGTCGGCCCAAGGCCCTCCTATTGTGAGGTTGCACACGTTGCACGCAGTTAAACACATACAAGAACGCATCGGGAAATCGGGACAAAAGACTGCGGTCAAGCACTGATTGAAATGCCCACGCCTGCCCACGTCCTGCGATTGTACAGAACTCTTGCCAACCGCCCCCTGCCACGCCCCCTTTTATCCCTGTCGTGCTGTACGTGCCGGACAAATTTAACGCCTAGGTTCCAGGTATGAATTGTGGCCTCTGCCCGCCGGCGATGCAGCAAAATAATGTTGCACCAAGGCAGCGTGCAGTCAGAACAAGTGGGATATAATGGAGAATCGAACCTATTCTTACCCTATTGTTACACATATATAGTAAATACAATGCGACACACAAAATAATTGACTTAACTTAGAGAAAACTAAAATCTTAAGTCTTAGATAGTCTTTAGGGTTATTGAGTTATTATACAAAACTTTAAAATGATTAAATTTAAATATTATAACTATTAATAAAGTTCAATAAATTTAAATTTGGTATTTTTCATATATGAAGTTCTTCTTATTAAATTCGCATGATTTACTAAAATATCAGTTGTATGTTTTTTTTGTGACTTTTTTTAGAAGCCCAAAAAAAGCTCATTAAAAAACTTGATAAAATTCGTAGTTTTGCAAAATCATCATATAGTCACGATTTTATTACGAATTTGATTGTACGTTCTAATTTTACAATATCTTTTGTCAGGCATTATAAACGGAATTTCCGAAATTTTTTATGGAACAAGCATGAATCAAAAAACATTATTAGTAAGATTTAAAAAATGTTCTGTTAATAACAGTAAACACCGAAAAGGTATTTCAAAATTGATCATACAAAATATATAAGAATTAAACTGTTTATCGGCGTTTTTAAAGTTCTGTCAGAAAACTCTTAATACGGCATCTTCTGAGGGTATTAAACTGTGGTCCATGTAATAATTCTCAAACAAAAGCCCCCACCTCTCCCATATAAAAAGGGGCGTTTTACCTTTTTGTTCCACGGTGTTGTTGCAATTTTCATGCCTTGAAATGAATTTCGCGCCTGAAATTTGCTGGGCAATTTTCATTATAGTCCCGACTGTCGAAAATTGGCAACCCGCTGGCAATTGTCATAGGCAAACGCCATGACTCACCCCTCCCCCTTTGTTGGCCGGTTTCAATTTTTGTACATCTGCTTTCTTCAGAATGGAAAGGGGAAAACTTTTCCTCTAGAGATTTCGTCATAAACTTGAAGCCATTGACAGACACGCGTAGAACCCAAATATCTCCCTGCAAAACCAGAAAAAAACTGAAATTGACAGCAGATGCGGGCAATTGAAAATTGGGGAATCGACTTGGGAGAAATGCAATTATGCGATAAAAGCGAAATAAAAAATTGTGTTAATTGTTGAAAGGCTTGCATTGAAATTCGGTACGATCCACTCCACCGAACGACGATGTCTTGTTTGTCTTTCGATCTTTTACGGCCGCATCAATCTCTTCGGATTGTCCGAGTGGCCTGAGTGCTGATAGCCGGAATGGTGTTCACTGTACAGTAATAACAACTCCGCCGACGAAGTGAGTGAGTGGCACTTGGCTGTCTCTCCGCCTGATTGAGTGATGCATCATGCAGTGGCTCCTGGTTTTATGCGATTCCTGCTCATCTTGCTGAGTGGCCAGGGCAATAAATTCGTTTAATATGCAAATCAAATGCAAATTGATCTGGTGGGGGAATCGGGATGAGAGAGGGGGGCCGAAGAAGGTGCCACAGACTAATTAAAAAACACAAATTGGTCTGCTGACTTTGCGCCAATTGCTAATTAGCCATAGATCAGAGATCTCTCAACATGGTCCGTGTCCATAAGACAGGTTTCAATATCTGGCCAAGTCCCCTCCAAAAACTAATGCCTAACTGGTTACTACTCTTGGCCACAAAAAACAACCAAAGCCAGTTGGCAACAGTTAGGGGTTATTAATCTCTGCTGTCAAGGACATTTCCTTGTGTAATTTAATTTAAATTGCTTGTTTTGCTCACATAATTTCGTCATTTCTTACACAGATCATATCAATTGATTTGTATTGGTTCGATCGACCAAAGCAAGCCATTAATCGCCGTGGTCACCGATTTTAACATTTGCAAGAAAACTTGATTCGGGGAGTGTCCTCTTATGAATAATATGGCATGCAGTTAAATAGTTGTAAAAATTGTGTTTTGGAATGCCAACGATAAATGACCACAAATAAAAGTGGAATTGCAAAAAATATAACATGATTCCCAGATTAGATTTTGTTTCAAATCAAATAGCCCAACAAATATAAGTACAACAAGTTAAGTTTAGGGTAAAACACATTAAACTGAAATTTATTAAGTAAAATCGTTCACACATAGATAAATAGATACTACTTTGCAGACATGGTCAGAGTTAAAACTAAGATAAAACTGAAATTTCAGTAGACAAGACATCTTAAAGCGAAATGCAGCTCAGCGCGGTGGGGTGGGGGTTTGCAACCCCTTTAAAAAAGTCAAGGATCCAGCCTACCACATAGTCGAGGTCTGCAAAGAATATATATTATAATATAGGACCTTCGTAATTATAGGAAATATCCAAACTCACCACAACAACGGCATAGGTAAGACCTATGCCAGATCCCGCCAAAACATCAGACCAGTGGTGTTTGTAGTCGGAAACTCGACTGAGAGCCGTGTACCAGGCGAACATGAGCAGCAGGAATTGCAAAAGGTGGCGCAGCATTCGCATGCGGTTCCAGTGCATCCTGCGTTGTAAGAATATCTGGGAAATATGGGATTGAAGTTAGGTGTTCTATTTCTAGCTGTATTAAAACTTACCACCAAGTAGAGCATGGAATAACAGGCAAAGCTTGCATGCCCACTGGGAAATGAAAGACGCATGTCCTTGAATTGCTTTGAAGTTATATCTACAGCCGCACAGGTGAACTCTTCGATATAACGTCCAGCATTTTTGGGATCACTGCAAGTACTGCCATCAGGCATAATAGGTTGACAGAGCTAAAAAAAGTATTCTTATTTGAGAATTGTTGCCTTATTGTTTATTTTAAATATCCTTTTTCTAAGAATATTCCTTTACTTACCGTGTAAAAGTGAGGCCTCAGTCTGCCAATAGAATACTTGGCTATATTTGTGGTTAGCTGTTCCACGCCCAAGCCGAAGATAAAGATTCCTATTCTGTGATAGCATTCCAGCAGCCAAGTGGGCAACTCCAAGTGGCAAAGATGATAGCCACTACCCATTCTGTGCTTCTCAAAAGGGCCATGTAATCGCTTATCCTGGGCCCTAAAGAACTCCACCACGAGCATCTAATGGAGTTATACGATTAAGTTATAAAAAAGGTAATCTTAAGGCAGTGCCTAACTTACCACACAAAAAGGCAGTGCGCCACACATTAAGTAAAGTATCCAGCTGGGCATGGTGGACTCTTTATACGGATGTCTCAACGAAGAGTCATTGCAGAAGAATCCACGCGTAAAGGCCTCGCCCCAAAGCGAAAAACCCAGCATCGGCAGACCCACTGAAAATGTAGGAAAATTAAAATCACTTTCAAAGGTTTTCCAACTATGCCCCAGTTTTTTATAATTTGCAACTCTAGAAGGGCTTTTTGGGTGGCCCAGAATCGCTATGGTGTCCAATTTATTTACAGGCAAGGTCTGCTGATCCAGCCTTAATTGGACTAGTATAAACACAACAATAACAATGACGTTGATGGTGGTTTTTGTGGGGAAATGAGTTCAGCACAATCAAATGATAAATTCTCCCCTAACAAAAAAGAACTTGCCACAAATTGAATAAAATAAATCAGTCCGAACTCGATGATGCGCAAATAAATATATTTTTGTGTAGTATCTCTTTTGGTGTACGCTTGGGTGAGAAGTGCTTGTTCATTATTGAAACATTGAAACGCACCACAAAAAAGCCACAAAGGAACTCAGTACATAAACACTGCTGAAAACATTTTGTAGCAATTTAGAAATGTTTTGGTTTGAAAACACGGCGGCAAAGAGGCGCTTCCTCACCTACGTTTGAATAAAGCAGATATATGGTACTACATGATTATATGGTAGGGGGTCTTTTAGGTATGTATATAGATAGCGGAACCCTCTCTGAAGCACACGTTCAGTTCTGGGTGATGGATTCAAAAGTGGAATGAGTTCACGACTGGCAAAGTGCAAGAGATCAATTGCTGCCACATGATAACAGACCATAAAACGTGTGAAAGGCCGCCGGGAGAACGTGATAATACTTTTCTTAAACTTTAATATTGAGTTGGAGGAGCAATAAGCTTAAAGAAGTGCAGTTGATATAGAAACATGATTTATTTCATAGCATGATTAGAGGAGCTGTTCTTAACGGTTGAGTGCTCTGGAAATGGGAACATTTCCAAAAACATTTTCCAATTGTTTTGATTTTTCAAATGGGAACAAAAAGATCCCAATTCTTGGACATAAAATGTAAGCATGCGATGATGCATTTTTTTAGGCTCTGTATTATTATTATAGCAAGAAGCTGCAATATTTGTAAGATTCTAATTTTCCTTTTTCAAATGGGAGCGAAAAAAAATATTTGGAAATTCCTGTGTTGAGTCAAAACTAATGTTGTCATCACTCGAATGCAAATTTTTTTAACAGAATGTCGACTAAATTTGAAAAAAAAATTTAGAAAACTTTGTAATTTCTAAGAAACTATGTTATCGGAAATTAAACATTTTTTAGGCACTGAGTCGACGAATTGTAATTACACATTTATTTAGTGTATCAACTAAAGTGATTCACTTGAATTTCGCCCTAGTTCCTGGATATTATCTATTTAACATTACTCACCGCAGCTGAGCAAACAGAGATCCATGAGAATCCTTCCGAAGATTTGTCGAGGGCCACGCAATGTCTGCTTGTTGTTGGGGACAATATATAAAGTTCCATGGTTTCCGGAATTTCCAACGAAAGTTGGCAGCTGTAGGTCCAGTTTTACATTATTGTTGTTATGGTTGGGGGTTTTGGTTGAAGATGCAGCAGCGGCGGCTATAATACTAGAAGCCGTCGGTGAAGAAGGTTCTTCGCCGCTGCTGCTCTGGCTTTCAAATCTCTGGAGCGGCGTGGTATCGCAAACACTTCCCGGACGAAGGGTACTCATCGTAGAGATTAGGGGGATTGTCTACTTCTAAGGTTTATCTGATGGAACTTGAAGGGCCTGGTCCGAACCTGGCCTCAATTTATGGCACTATTGCACCTGGACACCACACGGGTGGTCATCTTATCGGCGGGCCGAGTCGCGCACTCAAATATTTGAATAATCCTCGGGAGTGTTTTCTTTTTTTTTGCTTTTTAGAATGTGCTAATGGGCGCTCCCTCTTGCGAGGCACTGTGATAAGGGCGCATGTAAATAAAGCCACCAAATCGATACTGTTGTAGAAAACACACGGCGTCGGCGTTTTGTGGGCGGTACGAAATTGGGTAAGGTAAACGCTGTTGCGCAAGCGATAAGCGATGAGCGATCGCGATCGGCTAAGTCCGAGTCAAAATGTTGCTCAAATACTGCTGGCGGCGCACAAAGGTAAATAATACGTGGTAAAAATCTCTGCCATTATTTGGTCTGCATTTCTCCACTGCACTTAATTGTTCTTTGTTTTCTTTTATTTTTGTCACTTCGAAGGTATTACTTATCGCTCTTGCTCTAGTTCTTTTCGCACTCGGTTCTGCTTTTCTATTTGTTTCGCATGCGCAGCCTGCGAAAATGGTAAGTGAATGAGACCCCGAGTAGAACGAACCCAACCCGACGACAACCATCCGCACCGTTCGACACTGCACGAAGAAGTGAACGGCGAATTTAAGAGCAGAGCAGCGCAGCGCTGTCCAAATAATATCCAGCAACGAATGGTAAACAGCTGCGCTCTCTCCCGCTTTCCAATTGAACTCTCCCTCACACTCTCTCTTCCACGATCTCTATTACAGGGTATCGGAATAACAAACTGGAATGGAACACGACCGGATCACGATTTTTTAAACATATTTGTAAGGATACGAGGCAACTAATATGATCGATACAGCCAACCAATAATAATAAATAAAAGCCATGAATGCTGACTTGATTTAGGTTGAATCAGTTTTTTATGTAATCTGAAAGGTTTTATCTAACTTTTTATCTAGGGAATGTACAATTAAGCAAACTTAATATTAACATTTGTGGCTGCATTAAAATTGAAATAATTTTTTTTAAGTATGTAAAATTAAACAAACATGTAGAAGAAAAATATTGACTTAAAAATAAAATATTTTCTTTTCGTACTTTCTATTAACTTTGTCGACCTTTGGTATACGCCTAAAAGATGGCAATACATTTAACAATTTATGAACATTAAACTCAATATCAATTTAAAATTTAATTGACTTTTATTCAAATATTTTTTGTTCACTTCAAAATAAGCCAAATAAAACCATCCTTGTTCTTATAAAAGTTTTCCTTACACATTAAGCTTATTTTCAATTTTACCCGTAGGCGGTCCTTCTTGTATTCGGATCCCATGGTTCCCCCATTTGTTCCTAGATAACAGAGAGAACTACTCTCTGAAAATATATATTTTCGCTCTTTTCTGCCGACTGACACGAAAGCAACGGCAATCTTATCTCCTCAGTTGACTTTTTTCATTGGACGCGGCAGGTTCGAGTTCTCAGTGTCGCTCGTTCATTTAACCAAAACAAAGTGCGAGTACGGGAATCGGTCGTATATATAACCCTTAATCGTTGTTGATACCATACCGAATCGGAAAAAAGCATCTTTGCGTAATGAAAACAAAGCCATAACGATGACGGAGCAAACAAGGCTTGCTTAAAAAACTTTCGCAACGCCCGCTACTCGGTAAAGGTAAATTAATTAAACAAAAAGACTGTGTTTATTTGTACTAAGCTAGTGAGCCAATGGATTTGGATATATATTTGCAATTTTATCGATTTGCTTGGCCGGCAAACAAAAAGTGTCTGTGGAGCCTCAAGAATTGATGGTCACATAAACAAATGCGAAAAGTCTGTGAGTGTAGTGTATGTGGGAAAATTCATAAATTATGCAGGTGGAAAGGGAAATTGCGTGGGTATATATTTTGTTTGGTTTAAAATCGATTTTTCCTCCCACAAATGGATTGTGTTCTACCATGGTCAAGGTTGTTGTTGTTGCTAAAATTGATTGTATGGTACTTATCCACAAAATCAGACCATGGAGTTTCAAGAACCCCATCAGCGATAGCTTATCAATTATTGAAACGCAAAAGACCGCACATTTTGATGGCGGCCATTCATCGGAAAAATTGCATTTGGCTTTTATGGTTGTTAAACTTAATTGTTTGATCCCACTGTAATGCCTCACGTCCGATATTGCCATTAACGGTGAGAGTTTTCCGCCATTTAGATCTTATTCCAGAATTCTGGCATCTGGCCAAGTTACTAGCACTTACAAAATATTTCCGTTGCAGGCAAGTCGTATACATTTGCCGTATTAAATACTTAGCATTGTTCCTGCCACATATAAAGTCCATCAATCAGATGCCAACTATTATTCATAGAATTCTCAATGCTTTTGCCATATAATTTTGCACACTTCTTGGCGTAATTTGTAAATATTTATCGTGCGAATTTTGGTACTTGGACAGCTTTTCAAAAACGAACACTTTATAAACTTATGATCGTAGAACACTGAAATAAGAATTAAAACACTTATTGCAAACAAACTTTATTAGTTTTGTTTTCTTTTTTAATAATAATATTTAGAAGAATTCTACCTTAAAGTTACACTCAAAAATGCAATACATAATAAACTATGAATTTGTATATTACTTTTACCAAGGTGTTTAAGTGTTTAAGTTTTTACAGTCTGTACTTAACTTGCCCACTTCGATAGCCTCAACAATTTTTTGCCAATTCGTATTGGATTTCGTTGTCAAGCGCGTGTAAAATGTTGGCAAACTTCTGCTGATCTCAGCCGGAATGGAAACGTATTCAATAGTAATCGTTAACAAAGCAAATAAACAAGCATTTTACATACACCGATGGGTTGGTTGAACTTGAGACCACGGGCAGCGTTTCAGGTGTCGATTTTCCTTCCTTTTCGACGACAAGTTGTCTGCAAGGTGGTCCCCTTGAAATCGAACCCCCGTTTCGTTATACGATAACGAAATTGGCGCTCCTTTGCAAAATAATGTTTTTCGTGCCTGTAGAAAACTTCAACTTTCCATATTCATAACCGAAATTCTTTGCGTGCACTTGTTGGATTTTTAATGATGCGGCCTGGCGCCTGTTGTTTATGTAAATTGTAAAACATTTCATATACCGATATGCATATTTTTTTGAATTTTAAATTATTTTTCCATCTCGAATGACCTTATTTTGCGTTGAGATATTCCGAAAATGACATTCGATTGAAGGGGAGGGAGGGCTGCTCAGCTTGTGGTCGTTGCCCGACAAAAGTAAATCGTTCGACTCTGAAATTAAAGTGATGAGGAGGAGGATTTGGGGAGGGAAAGGGGGATTTCAGCTGCCTCAGAGTATCATGATTTTATAATTACTTGTAATGCAGGGTTAAACTGACACGTCCTGTGACATCAACTTTTTAAATTAATGGGTTTTTGGTGTTAAATTAAACGATGACTTCAAGATTACTGTATAAGCTGAAAATACAGTTTTAAAGGAGATAAAAAAGTTTAAAAATAATTTTATTATGCTTACGGTTAGAATAACAATTACTTAAGATATAAATATATCAGCAAGTTAAATACTATTTATCATAATATAAAATACACCAAGCAAAATGTAGTTGTTCAATAGCAAGCTGATCCATTCTACAATAGACTTGGTTGCTATGGGCTACACAAATAGATTGATCGTGTGTGTAGGAACCTATAATCATAGAAATAGGAAATGTGTAAACATTTATTTATAACATTTTATTAAATCACACATTCGTTATGAATGTCGACATTTGTGTTATGACTTAAATATTTCTCAACCCAAAGTATTTACACAACTCAATTAGTTAGTCATAAATTATTTTATTCACTTAATTGGGCCTAGCCAAAGATATTAGCCCTTGTCATCTACCAACAGCCTTTTTTTATCGCAACTAAATGCCTTTGATAAGATAATGCAAAGATTTGCAGATATAAAAGCAAGATTAAGCGTTTATTAATGGGTCAACATGTTCGACGCCCCTGCAACAACATGCAGGCTATATTTAGCTTGAGTAATACGTTTTTTATTTCCGGGAGCTGACAATTAATATATAATATCAGACCAAACAATCTCAAGTGCGTGGAAGCACGCTCTTCAATCTACATTCGATAATATCGCCGTATTATTCTGTTCTCTTTTTTATATTTTAATTAAGACGCTGCCTGCTGTTTTGTCATTCGTTAAAAAGGGGGTTTGAGGAGGGGAAAGAAAAGAGGTAAAAACATTCATCAGGAGAATCTGAATCTCGAGACTGTGGAGTCAAGACCCAGGCATGCATTAAATAGCAACGGAGGAGTCGAGGATCGCCTGCTATCTATAAATAGTCGCGGCCCAATCGACTGCATTGGCCCGGTTGCCTTGGCCTGGCCATAATGGAAGCTCACCACTGCAATTCCTCCTTATTTTCTGTTCGAGAAGTTCTTTGCTCCTTAAGCTTCATCGCTGGTAAAAATAAATGGCTGAAGTACTGACTGACGTTTGCCACTTCTCGAGTTGTGGTTTTGTCAAATTAAGGCCTTGTTGAGCCCCAAGAAGGCCTATACTTGGTCTTTATAACGCCCAGTTGATGGGCAAGCTGATTGCACAAAATTATAGAAATTCAACAGGCTCTAGATGGACAAACGGGAATGGAAAGAATTTATGCAGGGTTAGATCAACAGTGGAACTGCTTTAGCTTACACTTCCTCAGTGTCTAGTGCATTATAATATTGAATTTATAACTTATTTTGGGACATTAATAAGTAACAATAATAATTAATATATTTTGTTTCCATGTTCTGCATATTTAATAGAAATCGACATTCAAGTATAAAAAGCCGCTAACCATAATTCCATTCAGATTTGTCAAAGTTTTGCATTAAAAATGAGTGAAAGCGTTTCAATGTTATACAAAATTCAGAGACAATAACAAATAAATATCTGGTTTCCTGTTTCATATGTATGTATTTAATATTAATGCTTAAGCTATATGAATGCTATCTTTTTTTTTCTTATTTATAAACATTCTTCAGTTATTATTCAATATGTATCTTCTCAAGCTAGTGTACCGAAATGTTGCAGTTAAGACTAAAGAAGTTCGACTGTAGAGCGTCGGTGTTCATTTAAATGCCATCCAAGGGTAACAATAGAAAGTTTATTGTTCATTTGAAACGACGTCACTTAACCCGTTTGAGTGTCATCTGTTCAGTGCCACTTGAGGGCTAATAAATCATGAAATTCTTCAATCAGCCATTTACGCAGCTCAATGAATCAGGAAAGGGGAGGGGGAGAGGAAGGTCAGTAGGCAGAAACACGTCACAACCTCTGCCTGTCGTTATCGCCAGGGAATCCTCAACTTATTACTCATCCCGAGCGTTATTCAACAATTTCTTTTATTAATGTATCTCCCTTGATGTATTTCCTCCCATCCGCAGAAGAAGAGGCTCCAGCTGAGAGATACTATGACGTAGGGGAATGGAATACGTATGCCCAGATTCGCACCTACTACTACTACCAACAACTACTCGCTCTTAGGCTCAAGTTCACTGCCAAGCACCTAAGAGAGAGAAAGCAAGAGAGAGCGAGCGAAAGCTTGAGATTGAGCTTGGGAGCTTTTGCAACGGCACCTAAAAAACGCGAGACGTAAAATTAAAAATGAGTAACGAAACCTCATCCAGCGAGACAACACCGCTCCGGCGGCCGGAGACCCAAACACCCAATAACGTGGCCCAAAGCAACCGACAAACGACGGCGAACGTTGTTAACAACACCCACAGTAATAACAACAATAATTACGGTGATTCGGTGGAAGTGCGTTTGCAAGAGGGAGATAGCACGCAACAACAACAGACTACCACCATGGATACCAACAAACGTATTCTTTGCCGCGTTGGCTTGGATATTTTAATATTGCTCTGCGGTAAGTAAAAATTCCGACTGCCCCCTCGAATTATACACCTGTTCACCTCCAAACTCAATGCGAAATTTTAATCGCATCAACTAATTTACCCTACACCGCGTGTTGTGTTTATTTTCTGTCGCAATGTTTATTATTTCTTTTGTGTTCTTCCGTCTCACTTACTCACACCCCTGATTTTTATGTAATCGTTGCTCTCTCGCTCTTTTCATCGCTCTCTTTAGACGCTCTCTTAAAAGAATCTTTTTGCTTATTATCAATAGTTTTAGATTATTAGCAATGCAAAAAAAAAACGATTGTCTTATTGAAGTCATTATTTAACTATTTTTCGGTTGGGCAATAAATATTTTATGTTTGCAATTTGTCATAAATTTATGCACAGAAAGAAATTATTTTAATTTGGTAGATAAATGCATTTAACGTTTTTACACGTGCTTTAAAATTATTATTTTAAAAGTTTAAAGAAAGAGTCACTTCGGATAATCAATAAATATTTCGTGCAAACTCACATCCGTTTTACGTGGTCCGATTTTAATCTGAATTTAATTTTGCGGCTTAAAGCATAATCTTAGCTTTTCCCTTGCCCTCTTATCGTGCTATTAACAAAAATGTTTTTTACGATATACAAATTTCAAATAGGCAAATCCAAATATTTCTCTGTGTGCGGTTTTTTTCAGTTTCCTGTTCGCCTTACCTTTATTTTTATTAGCTGTGCAAACAAAAGCAGAGACAGTTAAATTGTGTCAGGTAAAGGTGGACAACCTGCAGTGGCTGACTGTTGCATTCGATTGGGGGAGTTACACAATTCACACAATCAGCAGTTTATTCATTCCCGTTGAACTTTATCAGCATTTCTCTTCGCAACTACCATACAGTTGAGAAACCAATAACTGAAACTGTTACCACCTAAATTTTGAAAAAGTTAAGAGCATTTTTATAGTATTGTAGTAGCAAAGATAAAATATCTCATAAAAAATATAATCTTCGTTATAATATTATGCGACCTTCAACATAACTACCAACTTTTGTTGTTTATTTTAAGAACATATACCTGATAGTAAAGCTATTTTTCCAGTTTTTGTAAAGGCATTCCTGGTTTGAGAACCTTTATATGAATGTTTCCCATTGAGAATTCAAAGTCCGCCGTCAATAGCTTGCATTGTAGCGGAACCGGTTTGCCTGAGAATGTACGATCATTTTAGCTTTGCTGATTAGCTTTACCTGGCTGACTCATAAAGCACCGCCTTATTGTATCAGTGGCATTTTGTGGATTTTTGCAATTGGCACTACTGGAAAAACAATCTTGAGACGCCTTATTTGAGCAACTGATATGGGTTGCTACCATAAGTAGTTGATTGTTTAGTTTTGTCAATCAGCCGAAGACCTCGCACCGAATTTACGGCCATATTGTTTGTATATATTGGTGCCATTTTCTCCAGGTGCGAATTCAACGGGATATTTACATTTTCTTAGCATAAAAGCATGACACATGATATTGACCAGGTAACCAACTTTCGTGTTACGGTTGACTCACCTAAAGCGCCTTTGGAGATCCAGGTAGTAAACCAAATTCCTAAATGAATCATCCAAAATATCCCCTTTATTAAATATTATAAAAATCAGTGAAGAACGTCAAAATAGATTAGCCCACAGAAAGAACTTCATATATCAAAAGATAAGAGGAAATAATAAACTTTTGATGGGAGTATCCTAATCTAAAACTCGTGCCGTGTGCACATGGAACATTCCCATAATCAAAAAAAGTTTCTATCGATTTGTCAACAAAATGTGCTGAGGAGAAGACCCTTAAAAGTTCTTTGAATATATTAAAAATCCCAGAAAGAATATCGATGTTTTCCAAATAAATTCCAATTAGTTAAATCTGTTACAAAATGTCTTAGGACTGTATCTGACAAAAGTATCTATGTTAGAGCGCATTCTGTGGGCCATTTAAAATTCTTGTTTTTAGTGGGTCGAGATTAGTTTACGCTGCTGTATCTATCGGTTGCATCTGATGGACTTTCCGCCGTGAGCGCTCCTCTGTCGTCAACTAATTTTTGGGTGTAAATTACTTTTGACGCTAGACAAACGCTGATAAAGTGATTTTGGGGGCAAGGGGGCTGACGAGAGTGTCAGTGGCACTTAACCAAACAAATTCCTCTACATCCGAAGAAACCACAACTTCAGACTGGAACTCCGTTTGACGTTAATTGAATGCGAACGAGCTGCGGCACAGACTTCTTCTCTGCTTCTTTCACCTTTCTCCTTGAGGTGGAGTCATTAAACCCATAAAATATATACAGAAATGCATATTGGGGGTCGTCTACCAGATATTTCTTCTGCCACCACCACTCCTGCACTTCAATAATTTATCGAGCGTGATTGCGTGAGCGTGTTTGCTTTTGGGGGGAGAAAGAAATTCTTCTATTCAGTTTGACCAAAACTAAGTAGAAAGAACAATATTTATGCAATGCATTTTGGGCATGAGGCAATTGTTGGCTCATTGTTGTTGTTTACCTTCCACCCAACAACAAACAGAGTCGAAAAAGAGATACAGATGCAGATGGAAACGAAGATACATGGAAGATACATGGCCTGCCAAGATAGATGTTGATTTTCCATGTGTTTTTTGCGCTACAATTCCTGGGACAAAAGTAATGAACATTTAATTGCCAGCAGCTCATGACTCATGACCTGTCAAAGGAAAGGTTGTTCGAATCGGATTGGGAATCGAAATCTTTACCTGTGCGACACCTTTGTTTTTGAGAAATCTAGATGCGGGTGACCTGTGAGAATTCCTGGTAATAATTTTCGATTTCTTGGCAGCCATGAAATTGCCAAAACCCACATCAATAATCTTCATTTTTTAACGGACTGTGTCGGAATGTGTGTTGCCTTTGTCCTTCGTCGATCAAATCAATTGAAGAGGTTGAAAGTTTGCCATGGTCAGTCAGCCTTAATCTGCCCGAATGGCGGAGTTGTCTTTTAGTTCATTTCTTGGCACTAATTGCCTTTAATTTGACTTCCGTCATGTCTAATTAATGCCGCAAGTGCAAGTCAGACGCTTTTAATTAGATGCTGTACCGTATTTGAGGTCAGATTTGAGTAGAGACTCTTCTTTTCTTGCAACTCGGCAAACAGATACTTGGATAGCAATAGATAACTAGCTAAGAGCAAACATTTGGTAACTTGAAAGGCCGGCGGGCCGCACTTGCAGCATCCGAAAGATACAAAGATACAAATGCAGCGTAGGCCGGTGGCTTTGAGTTGGGGAAATGGTTAAAGAAAGCGGCGGCAAAGTGGTGATCTTTTGAAGAAATCTGATTGTGAAGAGTTGAGGGGTGAAGTGGGCGCGTTTACCTCTTTGTTTAACAAACAATCTGTTTATGTTGCCCTGTTTGCTGTTGGTTCAATTAGATGACAGCTTTGGAGCAGGCGGCGTCTTTATTATTAAAACGAACTTGACACCAAATGGACGGTGTTTCTGTTTGCTTTGGAAGTGCGGCCTAGGTGCGTAACAATTCGTTTGAATGCAGTCCCCCTTCAAAATATTAAATTAAACATTTCCGCTGAACCTACAGCCACCGTTTAATAATTTTTAAACTGCTTATGTCACCCTCATAAAATCACAGAAACACGCACAAAAACATCAACCAAATCGTTCTGTTTTTTTCTGCCATTTAACACAGTTTTTCCCTTTTCATTTTTCCCATTTTCCCATTTCACTTTATTAACGTGAAGTTCGAACTAGTTAATCTCTTGCTTATGTAGATCAGGGTAAATCTTTCTATGGCCGACAGACACTTTCGTTTTTCCTGCCACAAAGTCATAAAAACATTTTAGTGCTACCGGGTGGTTTGCTGAGGATTAGGGATTGAAAAAAGAGAGGACTCCTACGGCCAACAATGGGCCACTTGCTGTTTGTAATATGACGCTAATCTCTGCCAGAATTTCATCTCTATAACTTTCCCAGCATCATCAGAAGCCGTCGGCGATCGTTAAACATCTCCAGACAAAGCCACTGATCTAGATTTTGAGACCTGCAGCAGCTGCAGGCTAAAGAAAGAAATAAATAGGTTTCGGGATCGCAGGATGCGGCATTGTGTCACCCACCTTTGTGGGACCCAAAAGATCACCCTATTCACCCTGGCAAAAAAAAAGTAATTAAGCTGGAGAGACAAGTCGCCATCGAGTGCTGGCTATGCACTTCACTTCCATATAGCAGATATTCCTAGTGAAATAAGCACTTTAGAACTCAAAACTCTCACAATTTTCAACGCCTCGCTGACTTGGACTAGTTCATCGACATCCAGAGTTCATTTCCGCGTGCAGGTAGTATGGCTCATTGCAGAGGAGGGCAATTAGGCATACTGGAGCAATGGAGCCAGAGCTAATGCAGTTTTAATTAGCCTCTGGATAAATGTTTCGGTACACTAAAACAAATAAAGAAGCCGAAGAATGTTGAGACAGGCAATCAATCAGCCTGCACGCTTCACAATTTCTATGGGTTATTATTAATGGCAGCGAATTTTTAATTAGACAGGCAAAGAAGTCGCTGACAGATTTCCCCAGCCGGAATTATTTCATGAGCCCCAATTGAAACCCCGCACACGTTCGCTTGTCACTGGGAATCTTATCGCTGGCTTAGACATATCATAAGTCAATAGGGTCTCTGTCACTCCCCCCGAAGATAATGCCGCAGCACTTAGTCCGTGATGACCTACTAAGATGAGGGGGGGAATATATATTGATAAATGAGTAGTTTTTTCATAATTTATTTTTCTAATTTTTTTTCACTTTTCAGCCGGTTTTCCCATACTGCTGTTTTTCCTGCTTGGCGAACCCTACAAAAGGGGCTTCTTCTGCGATGACGAGTCGCTGAAGCATCCATTCCACGATTCCACGGTCCGCAATTGGATGCTATACTTTATTGGAGCGGTGATACCAGTTGGCGTGGTAAGTGAATGGGGTGGGTGGTTTGATGGACAGCCAGAAATTGTGTCAAGCAGCTGTTAGATACTCGAGCGAAGATTGCGCAACAGCCTCAAGTTCAGTTGTCGGCACTATGGAGCTATGGAGCTATGTATGATGCAAGATAACATACCACATGCATGTTCCACTGTCCACATGTCAGCAATTAAAACTAGAGCAACATGTGTCTGACCCTAATGGGCCTAGAAAAAAGATATTCGGCCCATTTCGTATAGTCTAAATATTTGCATGCGGGCCTTAATGACTTCCAGAGAAAAAGGGTTTAACGAGCTGCTAACTCAAGGAACTCACTCCCATTCCGTTTCTTTTCCCATCCCGCAGATACTCATTGTGGAGGTGATAATTTCACAGAACAAGGCCAAACAGGATAATGGCAATGCCACCAGTCGGAGATATGTCTTTATGAACTACGATGTGCCCGACTGGCTGATCGAGTGCTACAAGAAGGTTGGCATCTATGCATTTGGCGCAGTGCTCAGTCAGTTGACCACGGACATAGCGAAATATTCCATCGGCCGGCTGCGTCCCCATTTCATCGCGGTAAGTACATATCTGCGTGTTCGTGGTTGGCAATTTCACAGCGGTATCCCCGTTCTGACATTGCCAATTAATTTTAATCTGCAACATGTGCAGCAAGACAGGCGACAGTGACAGCGACAACGAAGACAAATCCAATGTCGAAGTAGGAGACGGACTTGGGCAGGGGATTTGGAGACAATGTCAAAATCTCACACGATGTGGGGAAAGGTTATTAATAGTATTGGGCTAAAAGGGGAATAATGGCAGTTGGTTGCAATGCGTTGAATAGAATACACTGTCCAAGAAGGAATAGTTCGGAAAGTAATATGATTAAATGCTGCATTCTTTTGTACGAAAATTGACCAAGGTTAATCATTATATATTTATTTCTAAAATTTGAAATCAAATTAGAGCCTTAAATATTAAGATTTATTTTATCCAAATGGGAAACCAATTATTAATGGGTATACTTAATCATAACTTATCATACTTAGTCTTAATATGCTATTATCTTTACTAAAATTAATTACGGAGTTAGATGGTTTTAAGACAGAAGCTTAAATTTAAATTCCAAACAAGGGATTTTGGTTTGTTTACTTACAACTTGTCAGGGTATTTCTGATTCCAAACAATCCCCAGACAATATCCCGAATTCCCAGACCAGTTGCCTTGTTTATTTATGATATTTTGACTGGATGTCAGACAATTTCATAAATATTCGCGGCGGCAAGTGGCTTGTTAGCTTGTTATTGTGCTCATCATTTGGGGAGATGGAATAGGGATCGGTATAGGGATTGCTTGCCATAGGGATCACTTTAGAAGGGGAGCCGCAGCACAGAGCCGCCCTATTGTTTAGTGAAGTGCGGCAACCGGGCAGAAGATGCAATGCAACTGCAGCTGTTGCCTCATTTCCAGCAGCAACTCCTCTAATTTGCGGCACATGTGGCGACGATCTCCGGGGAAGCTCCACAAATAAGCCCTAAGCAGCTTAAGTCCAAGTCATCGTCTTACTCATGCCACCAATACCTTCTTTCTTTCCTGCCGCCCACAGGTGTGCCAGCCGCAGATGAACGACGGCACCACCTGCAACGATGCCAGCAATGTGGGGAAGTACATCCAGGATTTCACGTGCAAGGGAGTCGACTCGTCGGCGCGCATGCTCAAAGAGATGCGCCTCTCCTTCCCCAGCGGCCACTCCAGCTTCACCTTCTTCGCCATGGTCTATCTGGCGGTAAGTCCATTGTTATGGTCACACGATCCCTGGGCCTCATTGTTTCGCCCTGTTTCCATTTCCATTTGCAGCTGTACCTGCAGGCACGCATGACCTGGCGGGGCTCCAAGCTGCTGCGTCACCTTCTCCAGTTCGCGTTCATCATGGTGGCCTGGTACACGGCTCTAAGCCGCGTCTCGGACTACAAACACCATTGGTCCGATGTGCTCGCAGGATCGCTCATTGGCTCTATATGCGCTATAGTTGTGGTAAGTAATGGTCTTAACCATACCTCATTACAATCACCCAGTTTTTAATTTAAATTCCTTAAAAAAAGTATAAATTCCATTTCGAATCGAACAAATACTTTAGGTCCCTCAATTCAAAATGTTATTTGTTTTTTATAATTATATTACTAACACTTCATCCGATAAAATTGCAGTTATATTGTTCAATGTTTTAAAATATTACTTTTCAATACCCCAGCTTATGTGTCACCGATAAAAAGTAATTTATATTTATATAAGTTAGGAACTTAGTTATTTTAATTTATTGTTTTTGCATGCTAATCATTAGTTCACCCAATTCTTGGTATTGGTTTATATAATCATGATTTCAAAGACATTCACAACACTTCCATCATTTTTTTAGAGCTACGGTTCGCCCAAGAGTTGGTTCAATTTTCAAACAGTTTGGCCCGCCAAAAGCAAGGCTAAGTGAGAGAGGAGCACAGAGACAGGATCAGTATATGACATTGTAAAGAAGATTAGCAATTAAAGCATCACAAATTCTGCATACCCCGACTATTCATTATTAACCCGGTGGTGGCCATTAGCCTTAATTGAACTGCGGGATACGTTCTCCAAATTGGCAGAACTCAACACCTAGATAAGGTGCCTGTGCCGTCGCGTGTGGTTGCGGATGCCAATCAATGCCATCCGCAGCACGAAACCTCTTTTACAGGCCGGGTTGACTCTTTCCACCCAGCTGGCCATGCAGCTGTCCAGTTGTAATTTCACGCTTGACCGGGGATAGGGGGTATTCCTAAGGGGGAGACCCATCATATTCCAAGGCGATTCAATTAGAAAGATATGAGGGGAGTAAGGAAACGCCAACGCATACTTTTAGGAGCAGCTGTATAATGTTGCAAGGTTGGAATTGAATTCCGGGTCGAGTTTTATGTTTAAAACTGCAATTCTGAGCTGGGAAAGCTACTTTGAAGTTCGTTTTAAGATATCCATTCTGAGTATTAGCATTGTATATACTCTAGTTAACACATACGTATTTTTTTTGTTATAAAAACCAAGATAATTCTACTCGAAAAGTACCGGATATTTGAAAGATTATGTTTTTAAAGCAATTAAAAATAAATCTAAATATAACGTGACTATCTACACATAAACCACTTAGCAAATGTAATCAACTTTGAAAACAACGAAATTTTGGCCCTATCGTTCTAAACTTGGCGGGTAATTCCCAAAAGAGCTGATAAAATGCCTGGTAAACCTGATAAGGAATATATATACATTACTGCGTTATAAACGTCTGAACTAAATTATAAAGCCCTTTGCATAGTTAGAAATATAACACTAAGTATAACTTAAAAACAGGAAATGAAAATAGAAATAAATACGATAAATTATTTATATAATGTAAAAAAAACCAGGAAACGGAGAGAGGAAAATAAAAATAAAAAAGATAAATTATTAATATATTTTATACTATTCTTACGACATTTTCATATTTGCTTCTCGTGTATTAAATCAAGTTTACTTCTATTTCTACTTTCAGGCCAACTATGTCTCCGACTTATTTCAAAAGCCCAACACCAAGCCTTATTTGGCGCGTACAGTGCAAGACATGAATGTACAGCCCCCACAGGGAATTACGATTACATCAAATTAACCCGCTGAAGGAGTGCATCATAGTTATTACAAATTCCACGAATTGTAGCCGAAGCTGGGATCTTCAGTACTGCATTCTTTGGGATTCTATTTATCGGGACAGTGAAGCCAAGCTTTGCGTAACTCCTATTTAGTTTATTCCTGTACATGCATTTTATAAGCTCTATGTGAGTGAATGAGAGTGTGTGTTTTAGTTGCAAGTGCACTTAAGTGTCTTTATACATTTTTAAGCTAGGGCAATTGAAAGATATCTTGTACTATACTAAACAATTTTAAACTGACGCAACTATTTCCACAAAACAAGTGACCTTCAAAACAGAGCTGCACAAAAAATAAATGGAAGCAATAAGTATTATGTAATTTAAGAGATAAGTTTTGGATACGAAAAGATATTTAAATAATTTCTAAGATAATCATTAAATATACATAAATTATAATTTTAACCAAAACGTATGTTACTTCTAAAGCTGAACATTTTCAATGCAAAGTAAAGTTAAAATAAATTATGAAAATTAGACTCCTTTTTATTATTTACCCTTATAAATAAAATTGAGCACGTTATGTTAGCTAAAATACAAACGCAAAAAGACAATACAGTATTGCACAATTTTTGAGCCATGTCCAATGAATATATTTGAGTGAAATAAAGTAGATCCGAAACAAATTGAGTTTAATGATTCAAAGTTGGCGGGCAAAAATCAAACGATATCTTTTTGAAAAATGGAACTGGACTTTTGTCTGGTATTTTTATGGTATTTCCAAAGCAAGTCGGAGCCATGTGGTATGTTTTACTTGTCTACGTACGGTCACGCTAAAATATTTGTACACAATAAAAACCGGCTCGTTTTTTCGCTGAAAAAGGTAAATTACTTGAATAAAACTAGAGAAATAAAATAATTTCGGTATATAAATGATAAAGGAGGAACTTATACTTCGCCCATCACTTATTTCAAAGCGGAAAAACCAGGATAAACCAGGTTTCCGCCCGCACCCATGACGTGTCACTCGCGCACTTGCTTCTAATCAATTAATTTGTTTTCACAGAACTTTTGACAAAATGATCACCGACGTGCAATTGGCCATTTTCTCCAACGTCCTGGGCGTATTTCTATTCCTGCTGGTGGTTGCCTATCATTATATTAATGCCAATACCGGAAAGTAAGTAATCCGTGGGAGAAGAAGAAGAGACACAACCCGGTATCAACAATAAAAAACGCAATTTTATTTTCAGGCCCAGCGCCAAGGCAAAATGATCTTCAATGTTTCCATTAACAGAGTAATGTAGTTGTACCAGGATAATGATAATGCTGCTTCATTCGCAAAAAAATAAATAGTTGTGTAAATCTAATCCAGGATATCGTTGATAGCATCCTTCATGGTCTGGACATCATCGAGTGTTTCGCCGGCTTTGTGATCCTTGCGGGTGTAGAATGTCCTGTGCGTTTGGTGGCCAAAACTGAAGGCTTTGATATAGGGAAAACTTTTCGTTTCTGCGGGCAGCTCGTCCACCTCCATGGAATTGGGCTTGTGTTTGGGATGACGCTTTTCCTTGGGCTTTTCATTGCCCTGATCGAAGCGGTAATTGGCCGGAAACTTGTGCACTATAATACAGTGATCCTTGCGCTGACGGGGAGTATGGAACTTGGTGGTGCACTCCTCCAGGAAGCAGGAGAACATGGGCTTATCCCCGCGATCCACGCTGGCGGCAAAATAGAAGTCGTGCTGCTCGGTGATATGCAAATCTAGTAAGTGCGCCGTGGGCAGCATCCTTCGACATTCCGCGCAGCTGTAGGATTGCTCCTTATCCCTGCTGTCACTGATTTTCGCCGGCTTATCCTGGATTCCCACGATTTCATCAATTTCCACCAGAACTCCCAGTTTCTTGAAGGGCGGCAGGATTGGCGAGGGCGGATCGGTGGCTTTTATAAATCCCGCTGGCGTTTCGCTTAGAATCTTAAGGATTTGTTCTGTGGACAGAAATTCCGATGGCGCAGCTTCCGAATCCATTTTGTTTGTGTCCCTAAAACCAAAGAGTTTGTTTTTGTTTTGGTTCCTACGTGTCTTTTTAACTGTTCCCACTAGCTTGCATCTTGTCGGCAAAATTGGGGTTTTAGTTTTAAAATTTTTATAATTAAATTTTGTAGTAAATATTTATTATTAATTTTTATTGGATATGTATTAATTTTTTTAACTAAAAAGTTTACAATTTCCTTAAAAATAAATACAAAAATACAATATTGTAGCCCCAAATCGACTACAACTTACTATCATTACTATTTCACGAACTATATTTTATAAAACTAACCGATTACATTGTTGATGACCACAATGTTTTTTCACTGTAATTTTACCCAAAGTGAATTTTGTTAAAATGAGGAAAGAGTTTTAAAATACTTAATTGTTTTGTTATAACATTTCCTATTTTTAAAGTATTCAAGTGAGAACACTTTAGTTGTGGGCGAAGTGATGCCAGATCGTCATAAATAGTTAATTAGTGGCAACGTTGCCAAGCACATGTGAACCTGAACTGGTTCCGCCAAAGAATCGGTTCTTTTTGGAATACGAAGCTGACACCGCGTGGTGTTTTTGCTGTCGATTCCCCATTTATTTTCCTTTCGACGCGTGGAAAATAAACAAATCCTGCCAAGATGAGTCTGTACAACTTCAAGAAGATCATGGTGGTTCCGCCAGCAAAGGTAAGTTCGCCCTGGAGCCCCCGTCCAGCGCAGCACCCCTTGGAGCCCCGACATAACCTCACCACAGGCGTTTACCAAATGCGTAGTATGTTTGTAAATAACGTTGGATTTTATCCTCTCCCTGCAGGACTTCATCGACATTATGCTGTCGAAGACACAGCGTAAGACCCCGACAGTGGTCCACAAGGGCTACAAGATATCCAGAATTCGGGCGTTCTACACCCGCAAAGTGAAGTACACGCAGCAGAACTTCCACGATCGTTTGTCGCAGATTATCCAGGATTTCCCCAAGTTGGACGATGTGCATCCATTCTATGCCGACTTGATGAATGTGCTGTACGACAAGGATCATTACAAACTGGCGCTGGGTCAGCTGAACACAGCCAGACATTTGGTGGATAAGTGAGTACCGGAGATCGACTCAAAAATGTTATTCCCTTATTAACAATACCTTTTTTATTACCTAGTGTGGCCAAGGACTATGTCCGCCTGCTGAAGTATGGTGATTCCCTGTACCGCTGCAAACAGCTGAAGAAAGCTGCCCTGGGTCGCATGGCCACCATAATGAAGCGACAGGCCTCCAACCTCACGTATCTGGAGCAAGTGCGTCAGCATCTTTCTCGTCTGCCCACCATCGATCCCTACTCGCGCACCATCATCATCTGCGGCTTCCCCAACGTGGGCAAGTCCTCGTTCATCAACAAGATCACCCGTGCCGACGTGGAAGTGCAACCCTATGCCTTTACCACCAAATCCCTGTATGTGGGCCACACAGACTACAAATACCTGCGCTGGCAGGTGATTGACACACCCGGCATCCTGGATCATCCTTTGGAAGAGCGCAATGTGATCGAAATGCAGGCCATCACTGCCTTGGCTCATCTGCGCGCCTGTGTCTTGTACTTCATGGACATCTCCGAGCAGTGCGGTCACTCCTTGGAGGAACAGGTCAAGCTGTTCGAGAGCATCAAGCCTTTGTTTACCAACAAACCCCTGATCCTGGCCATCAACAAAATCGACATCCTAACACCTGAGGATTTGCCAGAGGAGCGAAGGGAGATCATCACCAAGCTGCAGGAGGACAAAAACATTCCCGTAATGCTGATGTCCACCGTGCAAGAAACCGGTGTGATGGAGGTGAAAACCGAAGCCTGCGAGCGTTTGCTCTCCTACCGTGTGGACCAGAAGATGCGCACCAAGAAGGTGGACAACATCTTGAACCGCCTGCATGTGGCCATGCCAGCGCCTCGAGATGAGAAACAGCGTGCTCCCTGCATCCCAGAAAAGGCTTCGGCCCGCCTGCAACAGAATGCCGAGAAGGCTGAGCGCAAACGCAAGCTGGAGAAGGAGATCGAGGAGGAGGAGGGCGACGATTACACGCTGGACCTCAAGAAGAACTACAGCGAAATCCCCGAGGACGAGCGCTACGATGTTATTCCAGAGTTCTGGCAGGGTCACAACATTGCCGACTACATCGACGCCGATATCTTCGACAAATTGGAGGAACTGGAGCGCGCAGAGGGACTGCGGGAGGAGAGCGGCATCTACACAGTGCCCGATATGTCCATGGACGAGACCCTCAAGGAGATCCGCGAGATGGCCAAGCAAATCCGAGGCAAGCGATTCGAGCTGCGCGACGAGAAGCGACTGTCGTCGCGAAAGAACAAGCCGATCATCCCACGAAACAAGCAGCCCAAGGTGCGTGACCGTTCCGTGCAGAAGCTGGTGTCGACGATGGAGGGTCTGGGTGTGGACATGTCTGGCAGCGAGAACGCCAACTTCACCAAGTCCGTGGTGGATCTGCGTCGTGGCCAGGTGGCCGTTGGATCCAAGAAGGTGCCCATGCAGCCGCTGCTCGACAAGGAGTCCTCGGCGGTGGTCAGAAAGACTGGTCAGCCACTGAAGAGGGCGCCATCGCGCGACTCTCTGGGCATCAAGAACCTGGCCATCCGCAAGAAGGCGCAGATTATGGCCAAGCGGGATATTGCGAAGAAGGTCACAAGCAGGGGTCTCAAGGGCGAGGCGGATCGCTTCATCGGCACCAAGATGCCCAAGCATTTGTATTCCGGCAAGCGTGGCAATGGCAAGACGGATCGTCGTTAATTGCCGCAGCCTTGGCTGGTTAAGTGATTCTACCTGGTGGGTCCGCCCGCTCCTCTGTATAAACTAAGCGATGTATCTTTATCCCCTATAACAATTTTAAATACAATATTGTATTTTTACAAAACATTTTGGTGCCTTCTTTTTTGGGGTCAATTCAGGAACATTAGTCCTGTTCAGCTATAAAATTAGTTCAAAGCAGTAATTTAAGTAAAGTGACCTATTTTGGCTAGAAAAGTAAATAAAAGCTTAAATTTAAACAATTTACATTGAAGTTTGCCTTTGGGTAATAATTTTAAATTGTATTTCTTATATTAACAATATTATATGTTACTGCAACAGTAGTAATTCATTCCTTATTGATCCCTTTAAATAAAACAATTTAAATGATTATAAACTATTAAATACTTAGCACAAATGTTTCTATTTTTTACGCATTTGATAAGTCTTGTAACTAATCGATGTAAAAAATTCCCTAACTTTTACGAAAGTTTATATAAAAGGGTGATTACCTCAAAAGGATGTTCCGTATTTCGTGGTGTTCAGCAAAAACAAAGTTTACCTCTATTGATATTTGTTCCTACCTTACTTCACCTTGGCAACGAAGAAGTTTGTTTAGTTTTCACAAATTTTCTTGCCCATTGGGTAAAAGTTTTTCGATGCAGCAGCATGTCCAAAGCAACCACAATTAAGGAGGCACTGAAGCGCTGGGAGGAGCGGGAGCAGCAAAATTCCCTGACTGCCAAGAACATTGATCTGCAATTCCAGTGGCCGCCCATCGAGAAAATGGACAGCACTTTGGGCACGCTGGTGCAGTGCGAGTGAGTTTAAAAGTTTTTAATTCTTTCGGCAACATTTTGCGATTCATTTTCCTTCAGGAGAATCAGTATGTCCACTAATATGATTGAAAAGATTTTCGGCTTATCGGGCATGAAGTGCCTGAAAGTATTGTCTTTATCACGAAACTACATCAAGCAGATTTCGGGATTGGTAAAATGAGCTTGGGAAAATGTGTTCAAATTTAAACTTAGTTATGTACTTTCAGGAGGCCGTAGCTGAAACGCTGGAGGAGTTATGGCTCAGCTATAATCTCATAGAGAAAATCAAAGGATTGACAGGACTTAAGTGCCTGAAGGTGCTCTACATCAGCAATAATTTGATCAAGGACTGGTCGGAGTTTAATCGCCTGGCGGAGATTGAGTCTCTCGAAGATCTAGTGGTGGTGGGGAATCCCCTATCCGAAGGATTAGACGAACCCTCCTGGCGGGCAGAGTGCATCAAGAGGTTGCCCACCATCCGTAAACTGGACGGAGAACCAGTCGTTCTTAATGAGGAGCCACAGCTATAAATGCATTCACTATTGAATTTTATTTTAAAATTTCACATCACTCAAGCTTCTTTACTAAAGTAAAAAAGTTAAGTATTTATGCTATTTATTTGTGCCTATTCTTCATGCACCCATAGAATATTTGGAACAACAATGTCAGAAAAAAAATATTGGAACAATATTAAGCATTATCATTTTATTTCTTTTTGAAAATATCCTTACAAATTTAAATACTTTAAGTCCATGGCCCATGTAACCTGTGAATAAGTTGTTCATTTTAAACAGGTAAACAATTTTTAATTGGCAGAAACAAAATTTCTATATTTTTGTGAATAATTTAATGAGTGAATTTGTACCACTAATTAATTCTCACTTGGAATAAGAAAGAGTGGCGTTGCATTATATTTATTAGCTGAATAATTACCAGATAAAATCCTTCTAATTTACCTGAGTGTCTGTTGATGGACGTGTGAATATTTAACAGCGAAGTTGGCCGAGAGCTGCGTCAAATGCCAGGCGCTGTGTTCTGGCCACTGCAGTGTAACTGACCTATTGGCCAACTTTTGGATCCGCCGCTGTTAGCGTTCTGTTAGCCGGGCTCTCAAGGCTTTTGGCCTTCTTGCTGCCGCATTGCTGTTGCCTGTTGGTGTTGAAATTAAATGTTAAATTCCCCGCCCACTCACTTTCGATTTCAGTCGCAGTTCGGGGCTCAAAGCGTTCGCAGCTGTTGCGGTGAGATTGCTGAAAATCGGCAAATATTAATAACGTGCTAGTCGGGCATCAAATTAAATTTGGCTTAGGTCGTCTCGATTTCGAAGCCCCCAAAACAAGTAATATGCCAAATTAAATGGCGCGTGCTCTCGAACGAAAAAACAAATACATGAGTATTTAGGTACAATGTAAATGTAGATGTATTCCCAGGGAACTTTAGGCCCGCCATTAGCCAACTTATGTGTATATATGTGTATTTGTTTTTACGCACACTGCACAACCAACAACAACAGCATTTTGGAGGCTGCGCGGGGCGGCCATTTTTGGTAGGCTTCCATTTTTTTGGATCTCAATTTTTCGGCAACATGTGTTTCTTTCTTTGTGTGTGTATTTAATGTAAAATTTCCCTCAAGTTTTTGCTTTAAAATAAACGCATAAAATCAGGATACTAGAGGGCTGGAAGAAGAATGCTCGCCTATAATAACACACCGAAACGCTTAGCATAAAGTGAGAGTTTTCCGCTTGGGCGGCGGAAGTAAAACCATAAAATGTGCTCTCCATAAACAAAACACACACAACACAGAGGAAAAAATAAAAACTCTAAGTTGTGGAAAAAAAATTTTAAAAATATTGAATCCTCTTAATAAATCGTCTAAAAGTATGCTACTATATAATGCTATTGCGGAAGTCCTAAAAATAAATGTCAAAAGACAATGCCCTATTTAAATCTACCTAAAGGATTCTTATAAAACCTTTATAGATTTCTTTTCACCTCCGAATCGAACAAATTTCCTAAATATTTTGCTGCTGTTAATAAAATTTTAAAAATTGCTACAACTTAACATTTTTTATGAAAAATTACTCATCCGCCATGTAGGCCACCAATTTTGTTGTGTTATACACTATTCAAATCAAATTTGGGTGATATTTTTTCAGCGTGTACGTAGGAAAAACTACAGACTACTTAGCAGCATGGCTCGTAAACAGTGTGCGCCCAACCACCCTCACCACCCACACACATGCGTAAAGCAGCAACAAAGTTGCGATAGAAAACAGATGCTTGAAATATGCAACAGCGTATAAATAACAGACTAAGGCTAGCCAGATTGGCCAAGTGCGATGCAGGTGTCTCTGTTATTAGCACTGACCTATAGCGTTGGCATTACATACTGCATAGCCGCTGTTAACGCTGGCAGCGATGTCGACCGCGGCAGCGACGCGGGCAGAGGCAGAGGGCAGAACTGATGCCAAGGGTAATTCAGTGTTGGGCGAGATTTCCATCTGTGGACACGTCGGTCGGTCAGCGGAGCATTTTCCGAGCGATACCACAAAAAAAGAAGAGAAATATCCAACGTGAAAAAAGACAATTGTGTTGGTGTGAGTGCGTGTTTGTGTTGGTGAGCTCATAAAAGATTCAACAGCCTGCCGAGCTAAAAAATAAATAAAAAGATAACAACGTGGGTTTGGCAAAAAAAAAATTATACACAAATAGCCACAAAGAAACAGCGAAAAAATAATGCAAAATAAGTGTTAAATAAAACAGCTACAAGGTGAGAGGCCAAAGCATTAATAAAAAAAGAAAATAAGGCAAGCTAAAATTAAATAAAAACAATCAAATTTCGGATGAAACGAAAATTAACAACATAAAATTCGGGAAAAGCAGTAAAAAGGAGCCTTTCTGCCCATCTCTTTCTCTTCCGCTTTCTTTCCTTGGAGTAGTCCCTGAATGTAACGGTAATAAGCAAGCGTGTTTCGAGCAGCATCCTTGTGTGCGTGTGGAGTTCTGTGGCTCCTTTTTGCGCTCTCTCTCCTTTCTCCCTCTTAGCCCCCTTTGGTGCCTCATCTTTTTCGTTTGTTTTCTGCGAGACATTTATTTGCTCTTTAACGTTTCAGCAGGACCAGGCCTTTTTCGTTCCGGTATTCTTTCTTTCGTTCTTGGCCTCCTCTCATTTCAATCCCCCCATTTCACTCCTCTCCGCGCCTCTTCTGCCCACATTTCCTACCAACCACCATCCCCCCCTCTCAGTGCGTCCTGCTCGCTCTTTTCGGCTCTGGCATGCCGCAAAACAGTTAGTCCAACACTCAAGTCTCCCCGACCGTGTGTCTGCATGCCTGTGTTGGTGCTTGTATGTAGAGCGAATAAAAAAAAGTTACAGGACAACTTCTAAAGCTTGAACACCAAATTAGGGTTCCAAAATAGTTCATTAATGTGGAAAACAATATGTGGGCATTTTGTGTAAGACTCAGTACTTATTGAGTATTTATTATATGAAGTCTTTTTTAAAATCTTGATACTAGTGGTCGGTCCCCACATCGCCGCCATAGAAAAGGAATCTGCGGACACACGCACATTGTAAAACAGTGGATGGCTAATCACTCACCCAAATGGAATGTACGATCAATTCTTTAAATTAAGAACAATTTATTAGACACCTTCATCTGTTAGCACTCAAATAACTTTGTATATAAATAAATCAATTCAGTTTTGTTTATAAAAATAAATCAATGTAAAGAATTTAATTAATACATTGTTTACATTTCTTCAAAACTGATAACATGTGTTTGTCCAATATCTAATTTAAATATCGTTTGGTATATCGAGCAAAGTTAATATGACAACAAATCGTGCAAATATTTGAATTTGATTTAATTTCCACTCCAAACGTACGGCTTTCTAAAGCTGATTCAAGGAAAATCCTTATACCTTTTAAAATTAAATTTTTGGTCCCATAATACATGGTAATCGGATGTTCATAGACTAGGGTTTTTTAATATTAAAGTTTTTTGTTATAAAACTGTTAGCGAAAGCATTTGAAAAGGTAAAAATGGAGGATGCTGTACTGTAATACAAATTCGCCCACACAGACTGAGAATGTACATGTACATTCAACAATTTGCTGGCTCCCCACGGCTGGTGATTTTATTTTTTCGTCCCCTCACGCCACCCACTGGCCGTGGTGCTGTGATGCTGGGAGCCAACGTCAACAAGTTGAAGTCGTTGCCGCTGCCCAGCTAGCCTCGTTAGTACGAGTGGACGTGGCTGTGTGTGTTGCCCCGAAGTGTGCCGCAGATAAGGATAAATCATAAGCTGGGCGAGCCTGCTAAGTTCATTTTGATGTCGCAAAGTGACTAGAATCGATTCCAGTGTCATTTGCTAATTGAAAAATTTCTTGCCTGGCACGTTAACCCTTCCATTGGTCATTTATCTTAGCTGGATTTGGATCTTAATTAAAATGAATGCACAATTAATTGTCTGACAACAGACTAAAGCTATAAACAAAGCCATGTGTGCGTACGTTTATATTCGAGCCATATATAAACAGAGTTTTGTAAGCAGCATAAACAGCAGAAACTGTTAGTCTTTGAAGTGAAATTTGATTAAGGTGTTTATACAAGAGAGGAAAATACGAATTCAAAGGTGGAGAACGAGAGAGAGAGGGAAGAGAATGGGGCCAAGAAATATATTTACCCATCGATTCATATTCGACCGAGTTGCCTTGCGATTTTGGCTCCAGTTTTGTCCCCTGACTGACCAAATATATACTATATATGTAAGAAAAAAGTCAGCTTAAAGGGCATTAGGGGATAAAAATAAATAAAGGAAACTGGGAAATGGAAAATTTATTTTTCCCTTTGTGGGCGCCATTTCACACATTTTTAATTCGCTTATTGAACCAACTTATGCGAGTTAAGAGGGCGGCACTTCATAAAAACTGACCAACCCCTTCAAACTTTGTCTTAACATATCGCTATCTGAAGCTGACACATCATTAAAACTTTTAGAAGCAGATGCTACGGTGTAGATTAACGAAAATACACAATCCCATTATATAGGAATAATTTAACATATCTTCGGGGCATACCCTTTTCTAACTTCGCAGCTTTTTTTTGGCATCTGCTGCGTAACATCAATCTCTCGGATAGAAAGTGATTGGGAGCCAACATGTCGTATGGGCAATATGGCAAAAAACTTGAAACTCTTGGCGATGATGCCTAAGCTTTCTGCTCGTTCATTATAAGCTGTTTTCTGTTCTCTCCGTTATCCATTTTTTTGTCGTTCCTGTTGAATTTTCCTGATGAATTTTTCTTTTTACTGAGTGTGTGTGCGTGATGAGTGTGTGATGTGTATGCATGTGACATGTCTGACGTCTCATTTTCTGCCATATAAACCCGATTCTGGATTTTGCCTTAATTTGGCATTTGGGCGTTTCAATGGAAACTCATTTGAAACTTTCTTTCGCAAATCTGTGCATAGGCTTCCTGTGCAGCCAACAAAAAAAAACGTAATATTTATATGCGGATACTCGTGCGATTGTGTGTGTGTTTCTGCGCCTGACCGAGCACTGCCTCAATATTATTTTTTTTTCGGCCTGGCTCTGTATGAGAATCCGGCAGATGTTTGCCCAGGCTGGAGGAATACATATATACGAATGAATTTGAGGTATGTACTCGGCAGCACGCTGTTATGTTGGCAGTATAAATAATACATATAAATCAGTATATGGCTTACGCGTATTGGCCAAACTTCTTTTACGCAGGAACAATGGCGCACGGACTCCTTAATCATCGATATAATGGTATGTCGCGGCGTCGTATATCAAATGTTTTCAAGCCTTTGGGCCATATTAAACATGCCAACCTTGCACAACTCCCAGCTGACCGATTTTTGAACAATAAATCGGCATTGACATTTTGATCCACATTTTACATACGCACTTGTCGTGGCTAATTGATGAGCTCGGTGGATACCTTATGCAGGATATACTGGCCATAAATCATAAGCAAATCATTGCATATTCAATGCAAATTGCGGCAGGCTAATAAATCGCATGACCTTCATTGATCTTTACCCCCGGTAAAATGTAAAAATAAAATAAAAGATAAAACCTAGTCAGAAATGAACAGCAAATTGTGCCGTATTGAATTAGCCAACAATTCTGTGGCTTGAATGCGGTTTTGCGGGTTGGCCTTGCCAGCTGGCTGCCTCTTGTCTTCGGCAACTATTTTCCGTAATTCCATTTGCTCCGAGCAGGTTGGCAGACAAAATGCAATTAGCATTAACAAGGAAGGCAGCTACAGCTACGAAACCCTTGAAGCCAACGGCTTGCAGCAGCACAAAAAAGGCAAAACCATTTTTGCCACAATTTAAGCAAACGTTTACTCAAACAGAATACCGCAACGAATACCATTGAAATGCTCAAACTAACACTATTTAAATTTCACTTTAAAGTGCGCTCGATGTTTGAACAACCCGTTAGGGGAAATTCCAATTAAACTAAATCAACATCAGCATTTACAGCTGAAGTCAAAGTCAATTACGAACGGAATAAAACGAGTGAAATACTTCAATATCTATTTTATTTAGAGTATAACACGATAGTTTATGGGTGTTTAAGTTTGGCCTAGTTCAATAAACATAACAAGTTTGTGGTAAAACAGTTATTGGATATAAATAAATGTCTAATAAATTCAATTAATCGAAAATTGGTAGTTGGTAAAGTTTTGGCTAACTTATTTAAGAAAGTCAAAATTGATTAAGTTTTTAGTTGAAGTTGATTTACATACAGTTGAATAGTTTTCCCAGCGTTCAATGGAGATAATTAATGGATTAAATAAGTGAGAAAGTTTGTGATACAACGAGAAAGTAGAACAAAATTATTTAAAACTAAAGTTTAAGAAATTGTTAAAGTTTGGACTAGCTTAATAAATGTGTTCTCTCTTGGCTTAACTGGGATATTCTAAGGATAAGGTCTGGCTCTGCTTAGTTTTCTCTGCTGAAATTAAAATGAACTATTTTGGCTTGACCCAATTTCACCAGGTTTATCTCAAACATTCTGTCTGCCAACTAAAGCCTCAGCAAAGGCGAATAAGTCAACTGACAGCATTTCGGCATTAAAGATTCACAATGGTGGGCAAAAGAATTCTTCCCACAAGATGGGGAAAAGGTGTTTGACAGGTCACAGCATTTCAGACAGCTGGGAAATGCAACTGTTGCACAAGCGGACCTGTGAAGTAATTGTCGAGCACCTGTAAGTGCCTGCAGCATATGCATATTTGTATGTACAACTGGCCCTCCAAGGGCCCCACAAATGTTGCTCATACGCCGCGTGGTACGGGCAACAATTTCCCATGCCAGCTAGGCCAAGAGACAACAAGCCACAAATTGACATAGCTGTGATAATGTGTGTGACGGGATGAGCCGGGCAATATAGCCATACACAGCAAAAAAAATTAAAATAATACAATTTTAATGTTTTCGACAAGTCAGATGCAGGTATCTTCAATTGCCTTTAAAATTATATTGCTATCACTAAAAACGTTATATTAAAAATAAGAAGACATTAAAGCATTCTACATTTAAAAATTATTTCCTTTTTATAATCTCTTCTACATAATTTCAACCGAACATTAAAGCTATGTGTCACCCATTTACAACTTAAGTACTTCTAAAACACAAATAAAATACATTTGTATTTGTGATTTCAAAAAAATATGATTGCCTTCTTTTAGGCAAAAAGTTATTTTGAGTCACCTGAGATGTCTGTGGATA